TCTCTCTCTCTCCCGCCGCAGTTGTTCCCGCGGTTAGGGAAACAACCCGGAGAGAGTTCCCGATAGTTACATAATCGAATTTATGCTTGCGGCTGATTTGTATTATAGATCGTAGAAAGTGGCATAGATCCTGACTATTTTGCAAGTCGGAGTGTTCAGACTAAATCAACGTCATCTTTGGAGGTGAAAAAATTATTTAGCAATATGTAGACGAAAAAGGCGCCGACACGTGTCGAGACGTATACTTGAGATAATATAATCAAAAACGTGAAGATTAACTCTCTGTGGTCTCAGCTAATTGAGCGAAGAATATTTCATCTTCAATGTCATCTAATCTGCTCGTTTAACACGAATCAAAGAATTTTTATTACTTGGAGGAATTTATGAAGATCTCAGAAATTAGTTGCCAATTATAATCTGCTGGTCTAACGCGAGTTGAAGAATTTTTATTACTTGGAGGAATTTATGAAGAGATATCATATAGTTTGCCGATTATAATCGTGTATAGATTCGTGTGCTTGAAGAATTTTACGATAGGCTATCGCGTTACGACGATTTCCTGCATTAGAATCTATTGGATGATCATCGATGATAGTATATCATTATCATTTACTCCGAAACTTAAAGCGTTTCAGAAATTAAAGGAAATCAGTCCGGGGAAATGTGACTGGCTACGACTTTTCCATCCAATTCAGCAGCGTTCCGTTTGTACCTTCTCCCTCCTTCTTTCTCTCTCACTCTCTCTCTCCTTCTTTCGACGTCACGTGCAACAGGGAAGACGGGAACGGGGTTGATCCACCCCAGTTGAGTCCCGCGCGAAGAAAGGAACGAAGAAGAAGAGAATGGAGAGGAAGAGAAGCCGTACGGTGGATCGGGCGGAAGAAGGACGAAAGGGAGGGGGAGAGGCGAGGGGGTTCGTCGGCGGAATGGAATCCATTTCGAAATTGCAAGCCACCCTGTTCGATCCCCTTTCTCCGCCGCCCACCCTCCGTATCCCGTACACCCTCCCGCGGCCTTTTCCCGGTTCCTTCCCTCAGGAAAAGCCACTCCCCCTGCTCGACTCGAACACCGTCCGTCTCGCTCTCTATCTCTCTGGCTCGCTTCCCTTTCGGGAGACAGCGTGCTCGCCTCGAATACTGATATCGAGCAAAGTCCTTTTTCCCTTAAACCGAGCAGCCACCAGGAATAATGCATTATACGTACGCGTCCTTCGTCTCTCACTTCCTCCCCCGCGCCGTCGCTCGACTTTTCCTCTCACGCTCTGGTCATAGGTACTTTCCTTCGTGTCTTGCCAGTCTTACTCTTCCCGCCTTTCATCGTGTCGACGAGCTGCGGAATGTACCTAAATTTGTCCTGAAACAGTTTTACATTTTAATAATTAATGGTTTATCTCGTAATGAATGTCTTAGATTCTTAGCGTCTCCTTTCGGATGATTAATGGACGGTAAAGTCTAACACGCTCTCTATATTTGTTTTAGGCCTGTAACGAATTCACCACTCACGTAATGAACCTGTTGAGGGAACAGAGTCGCACTAGGCCGATCACGCCGAAGGAAATCGAAAGGATGGTCCAGATTATCCACAAGAAGTTCTCCAGCATTCAGATGCAATTGAAACAGTCCACTTGCGAAGCCGTGATGATCCTGAGGAGTCGATTTTTGGATGCCAGGTTCGTGTTGAAACAATGATAATAGATGTGTTTATATACATGCATTTCATAATGCATTCAATATATATTACCTATATATATCATTTTCGTGTATTTTGTTTATCCAGATTCGGAAAATATTCTGCAATTAACACGATGCGAATTAATTTTTCTTGCAGACGTAAGAGAAGAAATTTCAGCAAACAGGCGTCCGAAATTCTGAACGAATATTTCTATTCCCACCTCAGTAATCCCTACCCGAGCGAAGAGGCCAAGGAGGAGCTCGCACGAAAATGCGGAATTACTGTGAGCCAGGTATCGTTCACTATCTCTTCTCACACATATTAGACGACGAAGTTTTGCAACTTATAATATTCTATGCGTCACGCCATTTAATTTTTAAAGTAATTTTAACAGTTTTTAAGCTTACTCTTTGAAAGAGATATCCTATACACAGTGCCGATTACAGTATTTATGAACGCTTTAATGAGAAAAAAAGATATATTGAACATGCGTTTGAGAGTCCTTTAGCAAACTGAAATGAGCATGTATCTACGTTTCGTTTACTATCAGGTGTCCAATTGGTTCGGAAATAAGAGGATACGCTATAAGAAGAACATCGGTAAAGCGCAGGAGGAAGCGAATCTGTACGCGGCCAAGAAGGCAGCTGGTAAGTTGCAACCTTCGCTAACGAGCGATGGGTGTCCCTTCATGAGTTCGTTTTGCACAAAGCATGATGAAAAATGCTGTAATAGTGATTTACAAAATTGATAAAATGTCCATGTAAAAGCAATATCTCATTATTAATGAAAGTCGAAAGCGATTTTATCTTACGAACGGCGAGTTATAAAATGTTTTTCCAAAGTGCTTTTACGTTGCTATCATTCTTTCTATCTCTCAATGTTCTCTTGGGCTTATTGCTCCTTTGATTGCGTCGTCGGGCTTCGTCGAGGAAAAGCGAAATAAAAGCGGGATATGTAAATTGTTCCCTGGAATTTTATAAATCGAATTAATTAACAGACAAATCGTGATACATATTCCCGGAATTTTTAAAGCGTTAAACTTAAAATTTAAAATCGAAATAGAGGAAGTCTCATTACTGTAAATCATTAGGCGACTGAGTTACTGCCCATTGTTCGGCGCAGCAGTGACATTATTATGGCCGTTGATGAATCGCCGACGAAAAATAAATCTCGCGATACCGATTGTATTCTTTGGCACCTGGTGCTCGGAAGAAACATCTCCGTGATTAAAAACTTTTCCAAAAATTCTCGTTTTCGAAAATATCGCAGCATATATAAAGTTACGAAATTTTCTCGTTACATCTTCCGGAGTAAACGCTCTCATATCGTCCTCACTCGCTATCTACTTTGGTTTTCCACTCGAAGGCGATCTTCTCTCGTGAAAATTGCAAGAAAAATTCTCGATCCCGTTCCGAAATTTCACGAATTCGTGGATCTCACCCTAGTCGCAATTACGCACGCTTCGCTTAACTACCAAGGCATCTCACTTTATTTCGGATGCCGGCGTGAGATATTTTTAACTCACCAATTAAACGGGCGAGCAGGGGAGAACACGAGTCAGATGGCGAGAGAGGATGGGCGAGAGACGCTGGGGTATACGATGGAAATTCCGAGCTTCTCGCATTTCTTTCAGCACTCTCTGCGTTTGTCTTTCCTCGTTCACGTTCGCGATGAAACGGCCCGCGGTCCTCTCGTAATTAAAGAAACGGAATTCTAACGATCACCGCCACCCCACTCCGCAAAGCAACGCTTGTCTCGAATGGCGCGAAGGTTTTACAAGCGCGGGATACACTCGGCTTCAGAAGCTGGGTACGTTTATACAAATCTGGAGAAAATTACGAGAAGGCTTGAATATTTCCGAAGAAAAAGTAATCTTACTTTTCAACGAATAAAAATCACTGACGCGTTTATATCCGAGAGCAATGATGAATTATGTAAGTTTAACTTGACCTTTCACGTATTTTCTTAAATATATCTTATATATTTAAGATAATTCGGTAATCCGTTTACACGTTCGCGAAATTATGCCAGAAAAAGAGCATAAGCGCACGAGAGGCACGAGAGAAAAAAAATCGCTGTGGCTTAAAAAGAACTTAAAAAGACGCACCCTCGAATTTTGTATGCACCGCGATCGTTTCTACAGCAGCTTTTGCAGGAGCATCGCCGTACAGCATGGGCGGTGCCAGCCAAGGCACCCCGACGCCGATGATGTCGCCGGCGCCGCCCGGAGGACCGCAGGACATGGCCGGATACAGCATGGGAATAAACGGCAGCGACTACGGCTCGCAGCCGTACAACGACGGCTCTATGGGATACGATCCCATGCATCAGGTAATTTTTAATTTTACATAGCCTCTCAATGCTCACTGTTTGCGCGATGTTTCCTCCTTAGCCAGTATTAGTAGTCAATGTCGCCTGCTTTTTTAAATACTCATTTACTAGCATGAGCTTACCCTACAATGGTATGCATCACTATGTAGAAAATAAACAATTACGCTGTGGCTCGGAAACGCACTGCCTCTGAAAGTATATCCGGCAGCGTTGAATGTCATCTATCTCTATCTCTGAAGAAAGACTATTAACGAAGCCAGTTCGTACTACGAATACCTCGAGCGACTTTTATCTTGACGAGATCTTGTGTCTTACGCGGTTAAGTTTGTGAATTAGACATATTACCTAGATCAAAAATTCCGTTTATTATTAAAAGTTATCTAATGAATACATTATTGCGTGTCATTATTTTAGATTAATTTCACTCTTTCATCTGTTTTCAGGAAATTATCTTTCAATATTTCGAATGACGATTATTATAAATTTTGGACGCCGTGATATTTCAAAGTTAAAATTAGATATCTGAAATCTTTATTATTTTGTACATATTTTTTTTGCCGAATTTCGTATTTGAGATCGCTCAAAAAATAAAATCAAATATGTCGAATATATATATTTTTTTATTTTATTTAATACTCCTCAAAGTTATAGCTCCCGATTAATTCGAATTCCTCAAAATATTATCAATATTGCAGATGCCATTACTCGAGTGTTCATTTCCCTTCTTTCGCGGAAATCATGGGAGCTTATGAAGTTATTACTGAAATCTGCTACCTTCGCGCAAATCGCATCTTCCATGCAGTTCCAAGCCACGGCATTGCATCCCGATGAATGCATGCGCATTTCACCTTTCGCATACTCACACTCACTACAAGAGAGAAAGAGAGAGAGAACGAAAAGAGAGAGAGAGAGAGAGAGAGAGAGAGAGAGAGAGAGAGAGAGAGAGAGAGAGAGAGAAGAATGATATCGAAAGAGAGAAAGAGAGAGTCAGAGAAGAAAGAATAGCGGTGAAGGAGTCTGCTTGAGCTTCAGGATGATACGATGCCATATACAGGGAACCGACTCTCATATAAAACAACCTGAATGCATAAAGAAAGCATTACGGATAATGTCGTTTTGGTTTCATATTACGCGATTGAACTTAACTCCACCTTTTGGTTTTTCTCTAGATTTCCACGATTTTTCAGATCTATGAGTGGGACGCGTCTCTTCTGTTCCGTTTGTATTTTCTTGGGATTGACTAAAGTGTTCGTACACTCGAAGAAATCTAATTGACCTCTAGGACTTAAATTTACATGCGTAGTATCTCTTACACCCCTGTATATGGACGTGCGTGCATGCGAATGCGTGCGGTTAGACGTGTGCGCGTGTGTTGCTGGAATATGTACTGTAGGCCGGATACGCTATTTGCTGGTCCTGTAAAGACGGGTTCGAGGGCGCCGACAGTCGCGGTGCGGAGGGTGTGTTGGGTAGGGGTGCCTAGGGTAGAATCTGCACAGATACACACACGCGCGTACAAACCCACACACATGTAACGACACACGTACATACACAGCCTAGCAGCCAATAGCGCCAGGTATTGCTTAGTATGCATTGGAGTTGCTAAGTCACTTTTTAGGCAGGGCCTGGCTCTCTCACATATTAATGGAGCTAGTGGATGCGCGCTGCCTCTCCTAACGAGTCGCTCGGCGTCCCCTGCGATGCGTTGCAAACGCGACGAAGCGAATTTGGACGGTGGTGAATTTTACGGGATTCCTCCGGTCACGCTCGACAGTCTTTCCTCCGTGGAGGGGTTCCTTTTATCAATCTTTGATAAATACGCTTCGTGTTGCTTTTCTCATCGAACGTCGTTAAGGACGCTTCGCATAAATCGGCAGTGATCTTCTCGTTCCTTTCCTTCTTCATTAGATTCTTAAATTCGCCGGGGACTATATTTATAGCTCGGATTTGCTTCCGTAGTTTATTGCACTGCCCTCTCAATCGGGCCGTTTAAATTGCCGTTTAAACAGACGTTTTCATAAAGTTTCCCTCGAAAACTTTACAGAAACTTAAAGGATTTCAGGACCGAAAATATCTCGTCTTTGCAATTCGCAAATTGACATATACACATGCTAATTTCCGCTTTGATGTCCTCTCTCTCACACACGGATGCGTTCTCGTAGCCGTCGCTAGCGCGGCTCTTCGTTCTTCGAACGTAGTAAATCTCGCTGACGTACAATTTCAACGATGTCGCGTGACACGGGGAGTGACGTTAAATTAAATTTGCGGGTAAACACAGCGAGCGGGAGTATTCGGCGAGTCTGGCAGGGGATTCCTGTAGGAATTTCTAGCCGATGGATCCAATATCTGACATGTCAATACGCTGATCACTTGTCGATGTTTCGCTTCGACTACAATTCTATCGCAGGATAAAAAAAATCGGTTACGTTCGGTTCCGGTGAATTATTTGGCGAGGAGCTTATTCGATCCGCGAATGCCTTCCGATCTGCAAGACACGAGATCATATTAAATTATTGTTCGACGAGATCGCACCAATAATAAGTCGCGCAGGGTGGGTTTCCTATTTTGGAAAGCGCATCAAACTCGATTGGAATCGGAGCCATCTTAAGAAAAGCCCGAGAGGAAATTAATTTCGTGGCTGATCCGGTTCACCTCGAAATTCCACGATCGCGCGGGACGTGGTGCCGCAAGGGTTGAAATGAAGCGACTAAAATGCATGCTCGTAACTGCGCTGCTCCGCAGTCACTTCCGGCTTCTGTATAGCTCTCTCCTCCACTTCTTTATCGATCCGAAACGGAGCCCGTCTTCTCCCGTATCTTCTTGCCGCCGTTAAGTTCCATCAGTTTTATCGTCCGATCGATGCTCCTTTCAAACTGGTTTTCGTGGAGAAACAAAACACGTAGCGAATTTACGGATCAATTTTGTTTTTAACTAGTTTCACGATAAACCTCTTTTCCGCGATAAACCTTTTAGTTTAACCGATCTAAATTTTTAGGCCATCTTGACAGAAGTAGAAAAGCGATATTACATTCTTTTACGGATCAATCGATTCTTCATGTCGTTTATTAGGAATATCATGCGTAAAGTATTTCAATTTAAATTTCTAATTTTAGTCCACGTGTCAACTTTGTCTTTAGCTAGACGTCTCGTGGATTCTAATCCGTTCCGTTGTTCCTAATGAGCTCGAATTTGCAATTTCTTGTCACATCGATCTCGCCAGGTCTTTGCATCGCGCACATGTGATCGGTTCTGACAGCGAAGTTCGACACGACAACGGTTTTAACAGCGAAGTTCGCGACGACAACAAATCCCCTCCCTTCGACGCTGCAGCTGGCACTAACTACTTTTCCCATAATCGCATACGTAACATAACAAATGAGCATTCGCTTTGTACACTCTTACACGAGCACAAAGAGCCTCTCTCACACGCCGGCCGACTGACTCCTAACATTTTGCACCGGTCAAGTATAACGTAATCCACTTGTACATTCCGTATAATCTATCTTACCCACCGCCTCGTTTTTTTTGTCTTCGCCGTCCCACCTGCCCCCTCACTCTTCTTTTAATCTCGTTCTAATCAGCTGTTGGTTGGTACTTCGAATCTAACAAGTAACCGTAACAGTACGGAACGCGGAACTGTGTTTGTTGCAACGAGGAGCCGGGGCTGGCTACAGATGAAAAGGCACCTCGTCCGACGAAGGGGAAGGGAAGCGTTTTGGAGAAGCTTTTCCTTCCCAATTCCAGCTGTTTTCGGCCAATTGCCGTCTTTTGCTATTTTGCGCGCGTACCGCCGCCGCAACGTGTGCGTTACTAAAATATCGAGAATGACACGTTGAGAAGAAAGACGGCGCATTGTCGCAAGCACAGTTCTGGTATACGGTCTCCGCTACCCCGCCTACGTTACTGTCACGATCCATTCGGTCGTCTGCTGCGCCGTCTCTTCTACTCTCCATCACCTTGACGATCCGTCTCTCGGATGCTGCGCGAAATCGCGCGAACGGTTCGCGACTACGGAGACGATATCCCGGATACGAGCGCGCATTCTCCTCTTATCGTTTCGCGAAGAGATTACGTTATGCAAATCTAAACGAGAAATTTTCAACTAGCCGCACAAATCGGATTTAACTTTGGAAATAGAAGATCGCAATCGGACAAATTCTTGTCAGGATCTTAAATTACGATTCGACGCGATGGTGCTTAAAAAAAAAAGCGAAAGATCGGAAACTCCAATCCGACTCAATGACGTTTTTTTCTTGATGCAGATGAAACGAAATTCTTAGAAGGCGACAGAGAGTGAGAGAGAGACCCCGGATCAGACAGCCACGCAAAAGACACGCAGTCGAAGCTAAAATAGAGAGCGAGAGAGAGGGAGAGAAAGGATGGGAAAGTGTGAATCGTGCGAGAGACTGGAGAGACAGAAAGATAGAGGGATGAACGCGAATGGGGGAGAGAATGAGATCACACAGCCGGGAAAAAAAATTATAAGACGTGAACGTGAAAATCGGGACTGGTGCGTGTAACACTGATCTCGGCCTCTCGTGCTTTTTTTATTGTGTTTCCAGTGATGCGTCAGGCCGGCCTAAAAGCGCTCGCAATCGTGTAGAAAGAAATTTCGCCGCAAGCTCTCGACACGAGATAAGAGAAAAAAACAGAGAAAGAATGAGAGAAACATTTAAAAAGTTAGAGATGGCGAGAAAGAGAAAGTGCGAACGAGAGAAAGAGATAGAGAGAGAGATAGAGATGGCCCGGGATTAGAAGCTGACGACGGCCGGTCGGGACATCGTTCTCCGTTGCAACAAGCGTCTGATCTCTTTCCCTAGAACTCAGTTCTCAAAGAAAAAGAGAGAGAGAGAGAGGCATTTGAAGAAAGGTCGTGGATTTTCTGAGAAACGAGAGTTCTCGATGAGACGTTGTTAGAATCCTCCTCCGGCTCGCGAGGTGCCAGTTCCATTCTCATATAACTCGTCGATCAGTGCAATATGTACGCAGGCGGATCCGCGCGGTCTACGTGTTCTGAGGACGTTTCGAAATTTCTACTCCAACGTCTGTGCTTCGCGGAGGCGTTCCGACGGCGGCGGGATTGTCGCGCGTTCATCTGCAGAGGAAGATCTCCACGCTCCGTAGACCCCGAGAAATAGAATTTATTTTCGAACTAAGCTGCGCACGAGGGAGGGAAGAACCGCGTGCGTCGCGACGCACGTTAAAGATGCGTACGTGATATAAAGTCGAGACAGCGATCTTTGGATAACTCGGTGAAGCTCGCCGGTAACGACGTTGCTAAGAATAGAGATAGAAATTTCGTGAAATTTCGGCATTACGGAGGGAAGGAGCGAAACTCGGCGGTCCCGATCCCAAGTTACCCGAGTATCGATAGAGGTCTCATTTAACGCGCGTCCAAGAATGATAATCTCTCTTGTTTGACTTCTCTCGTATCGGTCTGCCATCCTGAAGAGTACGTCGACATTGGAAGAATTGGAGAACGCAACGCGCGGATCGAGCTTTCGGACTTGGATCTTTTCCGTGGTGTTCCGTACTGAATTTCCCGTACGCATCGAGACGACCCGCATCGAGGAAAGCGGAGGGCTCTTCGCCCGTGCGTTTGAAAGACGTCCAGAAAGACGTCCTCGCCTTCGAGCTCTTCCCTTAGGATTAGATCTCGCTAAGTGTGCAATAAGATTTTGATATTGGGACTCTTCTTTATTTTTTAGGTCGTAGAGATACGTTTAGATAGGCCGTTTGTTACGTAGATAGTAAAAGTTGTGGTGGCAGCAAGCGATAAGTTTTTAGTTTTTCGATTGTTAATCGCGGCGAGTGTCTCGGGCGGGTGCTGAGGAGGCACGAGCCGCGTTGCTTTCAACACCGATTCTTCCAGTCGCGCAAAATTCGTAAAACGGGGGCCTTGAAATTATTCGCGCGAGGGGCGTTCCCGTTGCTTCCTCCCCTTTTTACAGTTTTCGGCATCTGAGAGATCAACATCGGAAGACACACCGGTGACGTGAATAATCACACACGAATCTGTACCCGTTTGTACATAGATATTCAACAGCATACACGCACCCTACGCATTGCGCGCGGTTTCATTACGTCGCTCTTTACACGGCTTTCGATACTTAATCTTTAGAGATTTACTTAAAGGCAGCTCTTTACACATCATACATACACACACATACACAGTTTTCACACGTATGATATGTATATATAGGTTGATAGAAGGAAAACAAGGCAACGTTGGAGTGTATCTTATAGTTGGAAAGATACTAGGGCAGATAGTTTTCGTGACATGCATGGCTGCATGTAGAATTTCAAGACACGAGAGCCTCCGAAGCGAAAAGTCACTGTCGAGATCTTTCCTTGGATGCAATCAAGGAATATACACTTTCGCAAGTCACGGAAGATTAGGAAACTGTCCGTATCTTATAAACGCTAATTTAATAGATTTGAAAGACGTCAGAGTTACGTTAATGCTATTTTCTGAGGCCCACGTGTGTACTGGTTTTACAAGGTAGTACGTGTGTGCGCGCATTTGTCTTTTGATCTGAGAGGGAGAGAGAGAGAGTGTTGATTGTGGATATCTGAGTGAGTAGGCGGAGGACCGAAAGGCGGAGAGAAAGAGCGTGATAGAGAGGGAGTGAATGCAATCAAAAATCTCATTGTAGCTCGTTTTGCAGAGTTCAGAATTTCATAGACCAGTAGAATAGACGCCGGCCCGTTGCATCGGCAAGTTCGGAAGGAGACTTCCCGATTCGGCCTCTGTCGATTACTTCGATGGTGAAATGACACCCGAGTGACAAGTTTCGTGGACGAGACAAGCGCTCGAATCCTTCCGAGACGCGGATAACGAGAGACAAGTGATCGCGAGTAATAACGAGAAACGGTTCCAGGATATCGGGTTTCGCTTGCTGCGAAATCCGAGTTGCGCGACAGACTTGAGACAAACTTGATACAAGAGTACAAAGAAGGTACATTTATAGGACGGTGTTCGTAGTCGGTTCTTATATTTAAGACCGTCTTAAGTACAATCTTGAGATGTCACAAAAGACGATCTTCAGAGTTCTTGGAATGTTCGCTACGTAATGCGGAAGTAAATGTCTGTCTCTCGTTGCCGGCGTAGCCGATACAACGTGGCCGAGCTTGGAGAAAATTCGGCATACCCGGCGAGACGAGCCAGGTAGACTGAACGTTCTCCGTTTGAGAGCGAAAGCGCGAAGCGAAGCAAAGTCTTCTTTTTACCGGGTATCGAGGCGAGGCTTAGTGACCAATGACATGCTATTTTGTCGCCATCCTGCAGGGGATAAAGACAGAGGGCTAAAAATGCAATTGCAAAACAAAAAACAAACAATCGAAAAACATGACGCAGGGCAAGGCATTGGCTGGGGGGCCAGGCGCGGCGGGATGGATGCAACAGCGCGAGGCGGTGCCCGAATTTCCGCCTCTCCACGATTCAGCGGACTCTGATTCCGACCGGGAAAACGAAAAGCGACCGCGCGTCTAAAGACACATACATTGGTTCTTTCTTTCTTCCCCCCTCACTCTTCCTTTCGAGGCGGACTACGCGCGCGGACGAGATTGCTAGGCGAGAGAAAGAGAGAGAGAGAGAGAGAGAGAGAGAGAGATTGTGCGAACGATGGCAAACGCAGGAGAGGAGCGAGCGAGCGAGCGAGCGAAAGAGACGAGAAAACCACATATTAACGGGATCACACAACACAGCAACGCAATCTCATGGACACGACACGACACGGTACACGAAAACGTATACGAGGCATACGACGCACACGGTCGTACCGCTGGTGTTTCCTAATAAGTAGCGTTCGTTTTTTCGATCTTCGAGCGACTCTCTTCTCGTTTTGGTTCTGTATCAGAAGGAGGAAGGATACGTGCGGAAGTACGCGTGGACCGACCGAGCCGTAACCCGTCGCAGGAGGCAGGTGACAAGCTCGGAACTCGGAAGATGAACGGAGCGATTAAGTCGTCTGGCTGTTGTCTGTTATCAACAAACGTATACGCGAGCGTACCTCGGTGCTCGGGATCGAAGAGAGCCGGGACGGTTAACCCTGACGCTACAACTCTCATTTTTAGTGATCGAGAAACACCGTACGCCTCTGTTAGACGTATATTATCAAAAAATTGATTTAATAGTTATTGTATCACACTTACCGTAAAATATAATCATTGTTCTTTTTGGTTTACTTCCAAGATAATTTTAATGCATAGTTTGTATTTAAAAAATTTTTATTTTATATATACATATAGAAAATAAAAATTTTCAATATTATATATATGTATATATAAATATTTAGAGGTAAAGAATCGTATTGTCAAAACAAAGTTAATTAACTTTTTTTAAAGACCACAGACGCGCGCTTTGCGCGCACTATTTAGCTTTAATATTATGCTATTACTATTACACTATTAACTTCTTGTTACACACAACTGTCAAAATATATGATGACAACTGCAAATGAAGTAAACGCAGTGAGAGAACCAATCGGCATCGCGGAAAAGCGACAACAATAAACTTCGATAGATTCGAGTGTCGACTTTACATGCCTTTTTTAGATATGATGATGATGATGAGAATGATGATTAATAGGATGATACCAGGAGCTGAAATTGTATAATGATAAAGAGTCTTATGTCCATTATTACTAATTCCTAAGATACAATGTTTAGAAAAAATTATATTGGAAATTTTCATAGAAATAATAAATCCTTTAAATCTTGTTGTCTCTAAATTCCTAATAATGGAGATACGATTCTTTGCCTTCAAGGTACAGATATATATGTATAGTCGGTAGGGGGAGAAGGGAAGTGTGTTGAGGAAACTATGCAAGTACGTCTGGGAGACGCATAGTTGTAGTGTCAGAGTTAAACGCGTCTCCGTTCACGTATCCTTGTTAGCCGGTCTTGGCCTTATCGAGCAATTTTTCGCGAGAGGCGGCGCTCTGAAGCGCAGAGAGCGGGCGAGCGAAGTGAACGGAAGGAAAAGACCACGCGAGCGACGAAGGCGTAGGTCAGCGTGCTCTCCTTACGGCGGAAGTTGGTTTCTCTCAAGACAATAGGTCGACGTACACGCGCCTAGCTAGGGAGAGGAGCGTACACGGACCAGTCACATTTACAAACTACAAATGCTACAACATTAACACGGACATGGCGTTTCCAAGGCCCTTTTAGACTCGATTGTTGAGTCCAAGAGTAGCGCTCGTCATGATTTTATTGCCGAACAAAAGGTGAACTATCGCCTTCAGTTTTCTTTCTAAGTTCACTCGATTTTTTTAAATAAGCTTGTACAAATCTCTTCGGAGATCGTAGTTTTTATTTTTGGAAACGCTGTGCGAAAGAGCATCGTCTTTCGCAGCACACATGAATACACGACTCTTTTCCCCGTGCGACTTTATGTTAATGTCTTGTTACTCGTTCCTGACATGTTAATCTTATGTAATGCTAGCGAATGTCTCCTACGTTCATTCATGATCGATATCCCGTATCCTTTATTTTCCAAGTTCCGCTTAAAAAGGGCAATCACGATCCTGGCATGTTGCGTACGCCAAGAGGTTCGAGCTCGCTGGGAAAAATAAGAGTCGACTTCTTGCTTAGGTCGCAAGCAATTCGCGAAAAAAGTTTGTCGATGAAGAGTGGATTAAGAGTCCCTTTTAAATATAACTGATAAACGTTAACTTTACATTCGTGTAGATAGCCATTTGAACGACTCTGGTATAAGGAAATTCTAAGATTCTTAGAATTTGTTTGGATGCTCTCCCCGGAATCGGAATTCCTGGAATACGCGTGTGACGTCACCGTGGAAAACTTCGACGTCGCCCAGAGTTCTGAATCCATCGGTCCGTTTACTAATCACAATGCGGGGCATTGACCAAGGATCGCGATTGCATTGGAAAATCGATGTGCATGACTGTATTTTCGCGAGCGAGGAAAACTCCGATCCGCTTTTCGTCCCTCCCGTTTCTTTTTCTTTTTTTTGTAATTGCGCAACCGAGCACGAAGGTCTCGTTAAAATTTGTTTCTCTCCAGTTATTTTTATCGTCTTCATCGATTCATTGTCCGCGACACAAAACACACACACACACACACATTCATTTACACATATGGAGCGTCGAATCCGAAATCGGCAGCAATCTGAAAAGAAGCGCGGCCGATCGATCGGATTCGACCCCGAACACGTGATTGCGCCTGTCTACCCTTAGTTGGCCGTACGTACGTAGGTACATATATATTGTGTATACGTATATATATACATGTGTATAAAAAAATATATATATATTATATATACATTCTATACTTTCGTATCTGTATAACTCGCACGCCACTCCGCGGGCGGCGGGAAAAGAGATCTCTTGTTGTAACGAACCGAGCAGAGGACACACGAGGATTGCGTTTCGAGTGGAAGAGAAAAAAAAGAGAAAGAGATACCCGGGACGTGAGCGCGCGCGGGTGCACAGTCGCCCGAGGGCGAGTCGGGAAACCCGGCTATCTTCCGTGGGTAACCGGGAACGGGTTCGTTTGCCGCGGATGTATGTATACGTCCGCATCAGAATTTCGGAATCGTTTGCGAGAATCGTTTTCGGCTCGAGGAGACCGGACGAACGAGCTAGGTCCTTCTTGCGAATCTTCTCGGACGATCTTTTTTCACGCCAACTGTGTGAATTCGCTCGCGCGCGTACACGACTGGATGCTGTTTGCTTTCAGGAGCTGTCGCCTTGAAATCCTTAGGAGAAACGCAGGAAGAACGCATACTGACAAACTTGAAAAAAAAAAGAACAAGCGAAAAAAGAGAGAGCGTGTGTGTGTGTGTGTGTGCGCGCGTAAATGCGGGAGTAAGCGAAAAAAAAAGAAAAGAAGAGAGAGAGAAAACGGAAAAGAATACGAATACGAGACCGCGTTGTTGTCGCGATAACGCTCGCGCAATCCGATCACCTCACTATCTGTGATCCGAGGCTCGCCTTTGAACGGCGAGTAATACGAACTAAAAATCGATATTAAGCTATTAAGATTACGTAACGCGCTCGTGTCTGGAGGCACTCGTGTTCTCGGCCTAATATCGGCCAGAATTCTCATCCAATTCGCCCCCCCGCGGATCTGTCTCGACGAGAAAAAAAAAGCCGACCCGGACAGCACGCATGTCCAAAATCGAGACATGAGACGTCTTTGAGGCATATCTTTAAGAGATCTTTAAGACGTCTTACGATATTACGTCTAAAAGACGTCTTAATGACGTCTCAGGTCCCGATTTTGGACATGGTGCTGTCTGGGGGAGACATCATCGATTCGATATCAACTCGCACAGCCGAACGCGTTTCCACCCTTGCCTCGTTTCTTTCAATTTTCCACGTTACGTTGATGACCGAGACTCGAGAACGTCGTCCCCCCGGAGTCCAGATCTCCCCACTCCCCCTTCGAGACGGACCTCGCAAAGTGGATCCTGCCGGAGTATGTCGCGCCGAATATTTGTAAGGTTTTTACGAAGCAAAAAGCCGCATTCTGAAATTAATGCACAATACACGATGTCCTATAAACGGCCTGCGCGCGCGCGCGCGTGCATGAGAGAAGGGGGGTTCGCGATTCGCTCCGAAGCGATATTTCGCGATCTGCGATTTTCGGACTCCCGACTTTGGTGGCTCCATATACCGACACGAATGCTTCCAGCCATCGACGACAGTGTTTCCCCCCCCCCTCTTACCCCTCTCATCTGCGATCCATCAGGAGCAAAAAAAGATATATAGCGGAACGCGGAATGATACATAGCAGACGCGTTGAGAGAAATAAAGGTGCGAGAATAAACGAGAAAGAGAGAAAGAGAGCGAGAGCGAGAGAGAGAGAGAGAGAGAGAGAGAGAGAGAGAGAGAAAGAGAGAGAACGAGAGAAAGAGAGACAGAAGCAATGGTCCTGCGACACAACACTAATGTATACGATTTTTCAACACGAAAATATTATATATTGTAGCTATATATATAGAAGTATATATAAAAGAGGATAGTATATAGGCAACCATAACGGCTAAAATGAATCATTGTAATAACGATGGTAATTAGTACGGCGAAGATTATTATTATTATTATTATTAGTTATTACCTAGTTTATTTTTAATTATTATATTATTGCCATTATTATTATCATTGATATTATTATTATTACTATTATTATATATTGGCGGTTCTCGCATTGTGATAATCGCAAAACTGTAATTGTGTAAACATCATGATGATAAGTATCTATGGGTTATTAAAGTTTTATCGTCGACTCGAGAAAGAGAGAAAGAGAGAGAGATGTACATTTATTTTATTTTGTTTTTTAAACGTTTCTTCACCTTGGTCGGAGTCACGATTTTTTGTTTGGCCTTCTTTCTTTTCCGCTTCGTTTATAATTAATGAATTGCAGATGGATTATTTATATTGCCTAGCACGTAGGTAAACGAGGAAAAAAATAAAAAGGATATCCAATTCTCACATTGTATAAACAAAGCCGAGGCGAAGATCGGGGGAGTTACGAGTATCCTCCGAGCGATTAGGTGGTTAAACTCTGTTGTTAAATGATATGTCGCGAGCGAATCGCTCGGCTAAAGATCGGCTGCCGAATGCGCGGTTCTCTTCGCGTCCCGTTCGATGCATCCCCTCGCCCCTGTTCCAATCGCACCCTGCTCGAACGTAAAACTTTCGGTAGTGAAATGCAGATTGTTGAAACGCTCGACATGATTTTGCAGATCGACTCGCGTACGATCGTCGGGTGGATCCAGAGGATCCACACAGGCAAAAACGGTCGATCGCGAGTGAACGTTTACGGCGAGCACGAACGAGCGTAACGATCTCTTTTTCTTCACGGAAAAAAAACGAGAGAACATACTTGATGTAAATCTAGGGTTCGTTTGCGCTCGTTCGTGCTTGTTCGTGCTCTTTCGCTTAAACTGGATTCAACCTCACGCGTAACGATCATGACTCGCTCGTTCTCGAGATACATCTGAACTCGCTGCTTATTTTTTTATACGTGGGCAACGTAAAACACGACAAGATCGATCTCGGTTTCGCGTCGGCCGCGGGCAAGCGGATGATCCTCGCGACGATCGTTCGAGATCGCTTCTCCCCTTTTCCTCCCCCTGCCCCGGTCTCGACGGCGGCCACTATCTTTAGCCGAATCCTTCGCCGATCGTGCGACCAGTACAAGTGCGTTCCGGCACAGCTAGTATACGAGAAAAAAAAAGCGCGCCCGGGGTTCGCTGTAAGCGCGCCTCCGGGCGTCCCTTTATAGGCTCTACTCTTAACATTTAATAAATGAAACGATAACAAAACGAAGAAAAGGGAAAAAAAAGAAATACAGATCGATAATACCGACGCGACGTGCGAGAGAGAGAGACACGAGAGAAAGAGAGCGTGTGTGCGAGAGAGAGAGATTGATGAGAAAAAAATAACGTTTAAGCGTACTTTATGAAAATACGCGCGGTATAAGATATTATTATATATTTATATCCTTCGTGCGCTCTTCTCTTCCTCTCCCCCCTCATCCTCCTTCTCCTTTACCCTTCCCCGGTGCCCCGGTCTCTCCGTTTCTCCTTCGCTCGCCATCATCCCTCATCGCTCTCTCCGACTTCCGTCTACGCGCGATAGCGGAGAGAGAGAGAGAGAGAGAAAAAAAGGAGGCAGATGTAGAAATAACGAGAGACGGTCGTACACGCTCGACGTGCACGCTGATAAGAACGCTGATTGTTAAACTGCATTTAAACGTTTTTTCCTCCTTTTTCTTTCTTTTCCTTTTTTTTTTTCGCCTCTCGAAGTGTCATCGGTGTCACGGCGTTAACTGTCGTCGCTTAAAGAGCAACCACCCCCTCTCCGTACTACCCACCCCCCGCCCCGTCCCACCGTCTACCCGACTCTCTCGACCAAATCTGCCCGATGATCCCCGGTGTCGCGCCCACAGAGACGACGATATTTTTGGATTGATTTCTTCGTGTTTCGAACAAACACGCGAGCGCGCCTTCTCGCTTCGCCTATTAAACACACCGGAAATATACACGCACCGCGCGGCGGCTACCTCTCCCCCCCCCCCCGCCGCCGCCGCCGATTTCGTATACGCATTTTCGTGCATGATGATCTCAGAGCACAAAACGTCCGTGCGCGGGAGAAGACGATCGTCGACGTTGTGGCCCGAAAGACGACAGTATACCACAAAAATCATTGTATCGATTCGAAGCATTATGATAAACTTAATAAAAGGATCGAAAAAATATGACGCATCTGCGATTGTTCATCCCCCTCGTCTTCCCCCCTTCCGCATCCCCCTCGCGATCCGTCCCGTAGCCGCTAAGTAATCACTGCCGGGATCTCTTCGATTTGTATTGTTCTTTATTATAATATCAATAGTATGACAGTGAATCCTAATATTAATAATATACAGTGTAGATTATCGCTATTGTTATTATCATTGTAAATCCGCAAGTTTCTTCTTCCCCCATAAACGTACATCAACTCGGAATTCGAAAGTGCGTGAACGTATAATATATAGCAAATATGTTACATCAAAGGACGAAGTCGCGTCGTCGTTCCATATATAAACCGGCCTATACATTACATTACATTACATTACAACTCGAGTAATACTTCTGTGTTCAACTTTAACGCTAATCTTAAAATCCTCTGTTTTCTTCTCGCCCGCCTGTCCCGCCGTGACGTGATCGCTGCCGCGAGCTCTCTCTCTCGCGAGCGAGCAGCAATTGCACTCGTACTTTACGCTAATGATATCTCGCTGCGAGATCTCGCGTAACAGAGTGTTTTCACACGAGAGCGAACGGTGGCAAGTAACAAGGAAACGGAAAAGAGAGACGGTAATTGAATTGCACATTCCGCATTGCCACCCGAATTCTCAACTTAAGCTCGATCGCGCGCAAGGAACAGAGGACGACATGCTATGTTATATAACACATTTCGCTGTAACAACGACGCAGGCTTTTCAACGAAGGTTCATCACCGACGCTGATCGCTGCCGATAAGCTGCCATTCACCACAAATAGAGCGACTCTTGGCTGTTCCCTACGTTTCGGCGAAGGCGTAGCGCGGGATGCGTTTCTCTGTCTCGGTATTTAAAAAACACACAAGCGCGAATTCTCTATATAAACAATTGCAATAGGAATTTACGAAAGCTACATTTAGAGTATGTACAAATCTTAAGAGTTCACGTATACATATATATATACATATATGTATATGTATACGCGGCGTCTCTGCAACAGTATCAACATGTAATATATATTATAACAATACAATGTATATATTATAATATAAATTATAATAATACAATTCTATGTATTATAATATATATAATATTATATATTACATATATTATAATACTATATGTATTATAACATTATAATATAATATATTGTAATATATGCACTTAAAATATACCTAATTCGTATGTCACAGATATAAAATGTATTACGAGTGTCACAATTTACAAAAGTCTATCCCTAGAACCAGTCCCTTCTAGTTGTGGTCAATGGCAAAACGGATATTTATGCGCCAGAAAGATCTGCTGCTAATCCAAAAGAAATCTATCGAGAATTCCTCAATCTTGACAATATTACGGGACGTTTACCAACGAGATAAATCGAGATGAGCCATTATAGCCGATAATATCTTCAACGAAAGATTCTAAAATTGAACGATCAACAGTATTCATAGAAGACGAAGCGCAGGGCGACGATAAATTGAGCCAAGTAAAGAGCTTTTACTCGCGATGTACTCGCTCTTTACCGAAAAATATATATCTCCTAGGACATTTATTTTCCGATAGAGGCATCCCAGCGTACAGGGAGAAGCCACTAAAACCATCTCGCTTATTCTTTGCTAGGATTCTTCCAATTAATTCAAATTTCTCGCGGAGACACCAACCGGATCTTGTATCTTACAAATCTAACGCGATTGAACCAAGTGGAAACGCAATTACAAACTCCTCAATTCGCATTTATCCGCACGTTGATGGCAGTTGCGTATTATTGGTGTATCAATATTATCTCGTAATATATATGCCCGACGTCTAACAACAATATTCCTATCGTACACTTAACGCGCTATTTCGTTCCCCCTCCCCTCCCATTTACCCTCGATAAAATTCTCATATTCCTAACATCGCGTATTTATCGGCACATACCCCTTTCTTCCCCGTACATATAAAATCAGACTTAGAATTACAGCACATACCGAGGCCGTGTTTTAACAAATTCTGCGATATATAGCTAAGCTATATAATCTCAGCGCTACGATCTTCCCTCTATCGTCCACACATTTACAAGACGCTCTTCAAAGAGCGAGGGATTATATTTAATTCTAACTTAGATATAGATCTCCGATTATAGGTTGCAAGTAAAAATATCAACCCAACTCGCCTCACTCACATAATTCAAACTCGCTCGCAGAACTTTGAATCTTCGCGTGACATCGAAATCCGGTACCGATTTACTTACAATCTAGATGGACATTAGTAAATAGGGAATGCACTCGCGCATTTCCATAACGATGATTAACGGTGGATAACGATTGGCAAATGCGTAGGTAATCATCCGATGGAAATACGCGCTTATAAGAAATGGAAATCGGTGCGTAACTTCCAAATAAATTCGTCACACTGCATACGAATTAACATTCCGCAAAACTTGATCGGAAAGGAGCACATTCTTTTGACCGAAAAGTGTGCAATGGAAGCTTCTAGTTTACAAATCATTAAACGTGTTTGGGTTCAATTATCTACGCCACCATTGCACCGCTGAAATTGTCTCCTCTATCGCGTAGGAATCTCTGAATACATTTTAACGTAATATCTAATTCGACACAATAAATACAACAGAGAAACAAACTCGAACAGAATTCCAAAATGTAAAAATTTATCTACAATGCAAAGCAAATATATGAAGACGCCTAAAAAGATGCATATCTTCTGTATTTCTTGCGGTGCTTCGGTATACGCAAGAGACCTGTGTGCACCGTGCGCGATCACTAAAAAAAATGTACTATTGTTGTCACGTTCTCTAATACAGAAATAGATATTCACATTAAATACAATTGCAATGTTATAAGAGAAACCTTCTAATTTAAATAACAAATTATTTCCATAAGCGGTCGCAAAAAAATTATCGTGGATGATATCTGCTAGGTGGCATGTTCTTCACCGATCGATCCTTCATGTCATTCGGGTTGAACATCATTGGTCCCTAGAAATTATTCTTGATTTAAAGTACATAAAATTAGTGAGAAGAGTTTGCGTAACTAGAAGTGAAAGCAAGTCCTTCGATTTTTGAGCTTGCACAATTTTTTATTTCGAAATTATTCGTATTAATTATAGTTCATATGTAAGCAGTAAGGGAACTATACATTTTTTAATTCTTCTGCTATCTCCCTCGTTAAAAGTATGTGACGCGCGTTTGTAATTTACAGTGCATAAGAAGACACGATATAAATTGGAACAATTATATGTACATACATATATATATATATGTCAACAAACAACAGGAGTAAAAGTAATTAATTGACGTGTGAACTTATTTTACAAAACCCGAATCCAACATCCTTCACCAAGCTTTCCCACGACTTCGTGATTAATGATCTCATGAAAGTAGCGATTGATAATGATTGATAAGCGTAAGCTAGTTTTAGTAATAGAAGTGGCGTTAAAAGTTATGATAAGAGTCTTGCTCGGCACACGAACAAACTTGATTAGAGACAAAAAGATTGTACTAGCATAATCTCCCGTACCATAGTATGTTTCGCAGTAATAAAATTTGGAAAGTGGTCACCTTAGAAATGCGGAAGAATTTAATTGCCATTGGATTACCTTGGATTACATTGGATTACCTTGTTTCGTTGAAGGAGCCGCGGATCCCTCATTGTGTAGCTCTGCACCTCTCGTGATAACGAGCTGGTCGAGCTCCAGCGAGAGAGCTATATGCCATACACAACACAACAATGTTGTCTCACTAACAGATACTCGCCACGTCGCTTGTAATTAGCTAGTCTTATCTTATATGTTTACGAGTAATACCAATTTATGCGATTACACGTTGCACTTATGCTCGCAGACATAGCTAAAAAAACAATAGCATCTCAACAAAGTCGTTTAACAAAGCGTAAAGGCTCTCCTTCGCGTCACACAACGTGAAAATCGGTATTACGGTATTCATGTTCTCGTGTACTATATAGCATAACGTTTCAGCAAAGTAGAAAGAACACTTTTTTCATGCCTCGATCACAGTGTGAGTATGCAGATGATTAATGGAGTATTTCACAGAGGATGTGTTTACATTACACAAAATCATTCACGATCACAAAGGAGATATGCCATTACTGTCGTTCTACTTCAAATAAAGTGAAAACATGCAGAGCGATATTAAATTCACCCTAGAGTGGCTACATAAGATGTTAACAGCCAGCTTTGATTATGAAATGCAATACAATCCTTCTTCTTGCGAGAAAAAGCTACACACACATTTTCGCGAAGCGGTGGGCAAGGAGAAAGCGCGTGTGTAAAACACCAAATAATGATACGTAAAATTAATAAAATGAATATGTCCTTACTATCAGCAATAATTATTATTTGGCTACATCATTCTGCTTCCCCGACTGCTTGCATAAAGAAATATAAAGAGAAAGGTAAGATTAAACACAGGTACACAAAAGAAAGAATCTGTAGCAAAGTGGAGAGGTCTAATTAAGTATCTGTCACTAAAATGTAATGTAGAAAGCGATAGAAGTGTATTTTAATTAATGCTATTAATAACATTGATCGTTATAGCGATTTAAATAGGAGGACTGACACAGTGTTGGAGCAGTCTAATCCATAAATGTAAACATCTTGTAAAAAAAAAAAAACTACACGATCGAGCTCCAATAAATACATTAATTACTGTACACATAGATTATAAGTAAAAATAAGTACGATCAATTCAAAGGTATTACGATATCTTTGAGAAAACTAGACAATATGCAAAACTAAGGGAACGAATGTAAGGTGTACAGACTGTTCGTTACGATTATATAGAGAAAACGTACAAAAAAAATCCGTTCATGTTAGCGTTACGGTTTCAAAAAACACGCAAAGGCTAAGCTGCATACCAGAAAACTGCAGCCACAACGCAAGGGGGCAATGAATGCACTGTGTAATGTGAAAGTTAAGGAGACACATATGTATGGTTCTGTACTGTAACGTATAGTTCGTCAATAATATGTACATAGTTCAATGTTTGTGAGACCGCACAAATTTTCGCCGCGTTGCACTTACTGGGGTGTTCTCCGCGACGTTTCCAGACGGCGGAGTTGCTGCCGGACTCAAGAAATCCACAGGAGCGGTTGGATCATTAACTGTCATGATAAAGACGATGTTACTTTAACTGGTTTTCAACTGCTTCAATCCTCGCTTGAGAATTGAAGAACATAACTGAGGATTTATTTTTACTCGTTACGTCTTTCGCTCTTTTTAAATATTATACTTTCGAAAATACAGAGAAAAACAAGCCGGGAACCAAACTCGCACAAGTGAAATCGAGAGGAGTTGAAGTTTAGGAATAGGAACTCGATGGCTTACTTGGCGCGGGAACGAACATCTGCGGAGATGAGGTAGCCATAGGTACGAGCGGAGACGTTATGGGGGTGGCCACGTTAGACGATGCCGCGCTACCTTTGGGTTTTCCGCCGGGATTCATTATGTCTACGTAGTTGGCACGCATACTCCTACCCTTTGGCAGTTTAAACATATTGCTACCAGTAGGCAATTTCGAGATATCCATCGCTGGTGCATCCTCGTTGTGTGCATTCGGTAGAGGTAGAGGCGGCTGCGGGCCGCGTTCCATCGACGGCGCACGGAAACTTACGTCGGACGTTTTCGGCGGTGGGGCCAGCGTCCCGGCACCGCTGTCGCCGTCCTCATCCTTGTTCATCCACTTCTTGGCGACCGGGTCCCATACAATCTGCAATACAAAAGACGACCGAGTTGATTCCGCGATTTCACGAGCAACGTCTCTCCGTCGTTTGCGTTCGCACGTTAAGAAAAGAAATCTAGCTAACGAATTATAAAAGAGTATTAGTAGTAGCAATCCGTTAGTCGATAGTTAACTGACAGTTAAGTCAACAAATCCTAGCATTATACTGGCCTGTTTATCGTCCGTCTTATAAGCATTGTTGCAACCATAAGTAGCATTCTATTACCAAAAGTATCCGCGCAAGCCCTTAACGACATAAAACATAAAACCGTCCGTCGTAATTCTCTAATGAGCTGTAGGAAGATACGGCAAAGCCACGACAGTGGCAGATTCTTACCGTTGGGTCGCTATCGTCCGGTAATATCATTTGATTTTTCGGCTTGGGCGCGAGTTTACTGAACAAACCACCGAACCAGGAGCCACCGCTGTTGCCGGGTTTCTTCTCGGCCGTTTTCTCCGATGTTTTCTTCGCGTCCGCCGTAGATTTAGCACTCGATCGTGGTGTCTCAAGCGCGTCCAATTCTTCCAATGGATCGTACTGCTTACCCGTCGACGGTGTCATGGAGATTGTTGGCTGCGCAGGCTGAAATAAAATATACGATTGATCATCGCAAGCTTGTTCCAGCAAAGTTCATCACTATTTACTGTAACAATGCGAGTTCGCCTATCACATGCCAGGTAACAGTGATCTGATCGCAGTCCATGTTCGAAACACCTATAAAATATGCGATACTCACAAATGTATTACAGTAAAAAATGAAAAACTTTGCTTACCATGTTTATTTTAGATATGACGTCGCTCTATGATGATGTGTTTTATGTTCAAAGTGTACGATTAGTAAACCATTGAAATCAGAATCGCATTAGAAAGCAGAACGTGAAAAGCGCAAATAAGCTCCACATGTGTTGAAAAAAGGATTTAGAACTTAGGGGACACGTGGTAAATATTAAGTTGGAATTAAGTTCTTAATTTTACAAGATTAACTTTTCAATCTACGTTGATCAAGCCTTAAATCTCTCGCTCGTTTTAATTAATATTACATGGCCCCTAAGTCTATAATCTTTTTTTTTTCGACAGTCTATATATGCGATAGCCTACATTTTTATATACGACGAATTGTGTTTAAAATCTCAAGAAGTTCAAGAAAATGCATTATATGACAAAACTTTATTATGCGTTTGATGCCAACAGTAACAATACGTCCATATATATCTACACATTCAAATAGTACTTAAAATAATATTCAAATTTTATAAAATTACACAGTACGTAATTAATATGACAAAAGCAGGATTCTTTACGTCTCTATTTGATCACAGCATATGGATTTTTTCCTCGTTAGTATCTGGACATTTTTTATATAGTAACATGTAAAAATTCGACTTTCAAGATAATATATATATGAACCGAAATATTTATTATAAATCTATTAATAGTTCTTTCACCGTTTCTTTTCAATAATTCTATTAAATGTTGAAAAATACTGAAAAATTATTTATGTATTACCATATTTAAAAAAAAAAAAAAATTTCTTCTGTTAACACTTAAACACGAAAATCCAGTTATATCCATCACATAGTTACATTCACGTATACCTCTGTATTTAACACGTACAGAAAACTTGGCCACAATTATACGCGCTTACAGATTACATTTTTAATCGCATTTCGTGGGCATATCAATGTCGTAAGTCAAAGATGTATTATCTTTAGCGAAAGTATCATCGGTTAGACGATTATTGTTTCTGAATCTAAGCGGTAAATCAATCGGATACGTGCCACCGAAAACCAGCGGCTTATATCTGGGCGATTCGGTGATATTCTGCCCGATACTATCGTACGACCACGCGTCTACCGTGTCGCAAATAACATCCTTTCTGCGAATATGCGGTGCCACCCTCATAACTTTCTTCTCCTCGAAATTACAATACTGTTTCAAGGTTTGTGCTTCGCTATTGAAAGCGACGTGGGCGTCTTTGGCTTCGGAGGATAAATCTGCTAAAAGAGATTCGAGTTTCAATTTGCTAAATTGAATATCTAAATCTGTAGTTTGCGACGACGCGGGTAAACTTCCTTCGTCCGGCCTGTCCGACGCCGTTTCTTCCTTATCCTCGGACGGATTCTTTTTCTTAATCTTACATTTTAGGAACACCGGTGGTTGCGAGCACGGTGGTTTCAAAAATATAGGATCGACGCGTCTCGGTTTTCTAATATCTTTCGGATGTACTTTGTTTGGTACAATTTTCGGATAGTTCGTGGTCAATTTAGGATATCTCCTACGAGAATTTTGAGCTTTGACATCGACATTATCGCCGGACAGATTAAAGAACGTAGGTACATTGCCAGGAGTATTATCATCAAATGCAGAGGCGATACACGGATTTGACTTTACAGACACATTGCGACGGCGTAACGTGTTAATGCCGGCAGCACGTGACGATCCTTCAGGATCGAGAATATTATCCGAGGTAAGTCCATAATTACTTACTTCAGGAGTGGGCGTTTTGTCTTCCCTTTCCGCCTGTCGGTGAGCAAGCATCAAGAAACAGGTGAAAAATGTTAATTGTTCTGTATTTTGAAGTAAATAATGTATGAAATTATGAGCGAAAATGAGACATTATTTTTGTAAAGAATCGGTATTCATTAAAAAATGAGAAAGCAAAATTATATGAATGTGTAGATACATTATGAGACAAATATGTAATGACTGATGTTTTGTATTTAAAATATCTGCAAAAAATATGCAATATAGCTACTTTTTAATATACCTCATAGTTCCATTTGTCTTGTTGCTGCGTGTTATTTACATCAGCCTGATCGGTGGTTAAGCCTGATGCAGACTGTTGCTGCCAATTAGGCATAGTTTCATTTCTTCCATAATTATTCTGATAATACGGTTGCTGGCCCCAATAATCCTGTTGCTGCGACTGCTGGTACTGAACAGATTCGTCCATGTTCCTCATATATTGCGCGTTCGGATCGTATGTATCTTGAATATTCGTGGGCAGAGACAATGGTTGCCAATCTGACTGCATTTCGCTCGTATTTACTTCCATCATTGATGTAGGCCCGTCACCGTAATCGGCTTGAATAGTATTCCATTGTTGTTGCGATGATAGCGACGGTAACGATTGCTGCTGCTGCTGCTGCTGCTGATGTTTCATTTCATGAATTTCTTGATTTTCTGTCATAGTACGGGAACCATACGTCTCATTTTCGACAGTCTGTTCCTCCTACAACAGAATTCTATTTAATACCTGCACTAATCGCGCAATAAAACTAAATATATCTCGCAAAGTAATTATAAATTACCTGATATTTGCCAACTATCTCTGCCAATTTATTAAGCCACGTTACATTTGCAGCATCCTCAATAGCATCCTTATAGACCGGATCGTGATATTTGATTCGGTCGCCCAATACATAAACCGCTTCGATGAAGGGTTTCTTGTATTTCGATGGGTCGTTCGCGACATTTGTTGCAATCTGTTCAATATACAATAGAGCCTTTTCTATCAAGCCACAGTCAACCATTTTCACAGTTAGATCGAACTTGAATGTTTGAAGATCTACTAATGTGAAACAGGGATCGCTGAGGTTTCGTGCATATTCGTAAATCTCCGTTAACATGACAGCTTCCATGGTGAAAAATTCAGAATACGACTTATTATGATTAGCGCCGATCAGCACGAGTTTAACTCCATTAGTTCCGTAAGCCCCGAAATCAATTTGTGCGAGTATGTAACAAAAATGCGCGGCATGGATGTCGCCTCTAGCGAATAACGTGTCCCCGAGAGTCGTTATTGATCGGCGATTAACTTCTGGATTCGCTGAGGTATTGGAAATAATCATAGCTAGATGAGGCCGCCAATCGTCCCAGCGTGGATCCGCAACGCACTGTAGAAGAAAATCAAATAATCGATAACACAGCGAAGAAGCTCGAATAATTTTATCATAAGATACAAGTATAACTCTTACCGTAACTATAGCAGGTACACGACCAGAATGCAGCTGATATAGGGTCTGCAGCGGATCGTGCGGTGGCAGACTGTTCGCAAAACGAGTCATTACAGAAGCATGTGTACGTTTATCCAGTTTACTAGCCAGGAAGAGAGCGTGGCCCCAAAGTCCTTCGTTCATCGCGTACTCTGTTACAGATAAGTAAAAAGAAATAAATAACTGAAAACCATTCACAACGTTAAACAATACTTAATAAAGACTAAAGTCTTTTTTTATACCTAATGCTTCTTGAACCCGTCCATAGAGTAATGTATCTCTGAATTCGTCTGTTATTTGCTCTACAGTTTTTCGTAGCTTGGTTTCAGATTTCTCGGATAGCACCGAGATATCCTGGGTACTTCCGTCGCTGCCTGTCGCTCCAGATCGTTGCGATATTTGCGATTCTCTACGTCCTACATCCTGAGATCTGATGAATTTATTCGCGTCGTAAGGATAAGCATCCTTGTTACGCAGCAAGAGCCCGGCAATATCGACACCGACAACATTCTGGATAAATTTAAGCAATATTAATTTATTTGAACAACACATTTTTTAAAACTAGTAAACTTTCAAATAAAAAGTCTTACTCCATTCTGTTGAATTAACATAATCATCAGTTCGTATAGTAAGATGTATGAAGCGCGATCGATTATTTCTTCATTTACCACTGCTTTTTTAATTTTATTTTCACAATATTCTATGATAGTCTTCTTATGCGTTACGCCGCTGTAATAAGTTACGTTATGTATATTATGTTTATATTGTTATTATACTTTTGTATGATTCTACTTACTTTATTAGAGGTCCCGGATATAATCGTAAATCGCGTGCAATAGGATCATGTGCGAGTAAATGATCTACGCGAAAAATGTCCACTTTCGCTCTCTCGCCGTCAGCTGGATAGCTCGGGTGAACGTGTACCAAAGACCCAATAGAAAAGCATGCTATGAGTAAATTTTTAAATTAACTTAGTAATATTAAACATTAATAATAATAATAATATATATAATACAAAATCGATCACAAGTTATACCATATGCATGAGACGTGGAATATTTAGTCGGTGTCAATCGAGCAGAAGTAATTATCGAATCTTCCAATAGCGACATATCACCCAATGTTCGTTTATCACCAGTGGTCCTGAAATAAATACGTTATTCTTTCTTTTAACAAAGTACCTTTAAAGAATTACGAAAAATATAAACTAATGTATTAATTATGATAAATATTAAAAGGCACATATAATTAAATACAAAATAAGTATGTTCTACTTAAACTTTAGTTTAGTACGAGCAAAATTAAGCACACAATTCTGTACATTTCTATTACTTTATTACTGTTGTACTGTATAATATTTTACTACGTTAAATAATCGTTGTAATAATATACACTTCATATTAACTGTCATGATTAATTCTACACGATATTCTATGTATTTCTAGCCAACTGTATGCCATTTACATGATTAAAATTTTAAAATACTGGCAGGAAACTGAATTTTTGACACATCTAGCTTAGAAGTTTCAAACCGAGAGGAGACTCCCGGTCTCACCTATTAAAATTGCGACAAACCGTACTGCGCTCCCGCAGATTTCCGGCCCATCCGGAATATCCGAAATGCGGGACATAAAATGCCTTGTTGGGTGAGTGGAAACATGCACTTGGGATTAGAAAAAATCTGACATACAACGAACGTTATAAAATCCGAAACCAGGTAAGAAACAATGACTGTTCAAAAGCTCTTAATTCTTTTTTAAATTCTTAACAAAAGATTTCAGAACATACCTATCGTCGCAGGAGCTACGGCCGGAATGAACGCTGGCTCTATCCTCTGGATAATTGCCGACCCCTCTGGCGATATGCTGTTGTTGATGCTGACTGGCATAATATTTGTGGTACCACTCGGAATAGGCGGCAGGATTCGTCCGTCGTAGGTTTTCGAGATATGCATAATAATTACTACCGTAATGAGTACCATAATCATATCCACTGTATCCTACATTTACAATTAAATACATATTTAATAACTATTTTCAATTGTTCTTTGTATTTCTTAATGTATATGTATTTTATATTGCAGCATGTACCATTATATGCATAATAAGGATCCCTTGTACGCATGTAGTATTCACGGTCTCTATCATTGTAAGACGATCTACTTGAAGGCCTAGAACTGAAAGAATATATAAATGAATATAATATGCAAAATATACAATATATTAATTAAAACAGTTAATTGTTTCTCAAAATCCGCGACAAAATGTTAATAATATATTTTACTCAGTCATATAAATATTCTTTTCAAGTTACAAGCACAAAAGTTGTATAGCATCTACTGTCATATCATTTAATATTGTTAAATAGTAGAAACAAATATAGCTAAATATCAAAATTATATAGTGATAGAAATAATAGAATTAGTTTGAATACTTAGGAATCTTTTTATCAAAATAATCAGTAGAGAATACGCCGATAAAGTTTGGTCACTTATTTCAGAAATATCTTGCATTTAGACATCGAATATACCTTCTTCCATAAGGATCGTCGTAGTACTCCCTTCTGTACTGATCTCTAATATCGTAATCGTCGTATCTTCGAGGTCGTCTGTCGTCCCTTCTTCTGTCACGATCCACGTACTCTCTATCCCTAGGATCTCTAGAATACCGCGCATCGTAGTCTCTCGGGTCCCGACGACGTGGATCGTCGACTCGTCTGCGATCATCCGGTCTCCTCCTGCCGTCTCTTTCATCCACATCCTCTTTTCCCCTGACTCTCCTGTCCATATCGTCTCTACCGTGTCGATCCAGGTCGTCGCGACTTTGATGCTTACGCTCGTCGTCCCGATACGGGACATCCCGTCGCTCGAAGTCGTCGCGGGCGTTGTACTGACGATCATTGTCGCCTACGCGTCGGCGCTCGTAATAGTAATCGTCCTCATATTCGCGATCACGCTCGTAATACGCGTTCTTCCGATCGTATTCGTATCGTCGGCGATCGGGACTGGTCTCTCGTCGTCTCTCTCTGCTCTCGTCCCGGCTGTTGCGTGATCCCTCGTCCTCCTCGTCCTCGTAGGAATCCCGGCGATTCGACGAGCCGGAGATACCCTGGCTCTCACTCTCCAAGGACGCGCCCACCGCTTCCTCGCGCTTGCTTCGCGATTCACTCGCCTGATCCTGCATCGCCGTCATCGTCGGAGGTGGAGCCTCCGGAGGGGAGCCGGTAACGACTCTACCACCCGTTGTTCTGTCGTCCGATAACTGCGTGACGTCGTTGGAGGACGCACCGCCTGGTATCTGCCTCAGCTCCGCGTCCGTTTGCTGCGCGACTTCGTCGGGTTCGTTGCCTCTACCGAGGACCTCGCGGGTCTCGCTCGGCTCCAGCATTATCTGCGACTGAAGCTGATACCTTTCCTCCCCCGACGGATCGTTCCGCGACTGTTGCGGCGGGAGAGAACGTTCCCTGCCCGAGGGATCGTTTCGCCGCTCCAGCGTGTCCGAGTCGCCTCGCAGTAACAGAGGCACGTTCCTCTCTTGGCCTGGAAGAACGTCGCGACGCTCCGCTCTGTCGGGTAAGTTCCTAACTTGCATACTTTGCTCCTGACCCGACGGATCGTTTCTCCTGGGATCGGACAGACGTTGCCCGGTCTGCATGTGATGCTCCTGACCCGTAGGATCGTTCCTGCGTGGATCTATGGTGCTCGATTGCCCCGGTACTTCGCGCAGGAAGGGAATATCGTTAGGCACTTCGTCGTTCTCGTCGTCCTGGCTCGGCGGCGTCGGCTCGTGTTCCTGATGCGAGTCCGTCAACTCGCCGGTCTCCAGAAACGTGTTCCTATCGTTCGAAGCGAACTCGTAATTGTCCGGCATCTGTTCCGCCAGAGGGGGATGAGGCCGTACTTGTTGAGACTGTTGTTGCTGCATCGACAGCACCTCGACGTTGTTCACTTCTTCCCTGAAGTCCCGGATGTTCGTCGCTTCCTTAGGATTCGCGCTCGGCTTGGGATCGTTGTCCAACGTTTCCTTGTTTATGGAGTCCCGCGAACCGTAGATATCGCGCTCCTTCAACGTCGCAGGCGCGACGACCTCGACGTTTATGAAGTCGGACGTTTGCTGGATGTTCTCGTAGTTCTCCACGTTCTGTTCGGGGGTGTTCCACTGCTTGGGAGGCGGGCGCGTGTGATCCTTCGCGTACCACGCGTTCTCTAGCGTGTTTTGATTGTACCATTGATCGTATCCGCTTTGCGAGACACCGTCCGTTATCTTAGCGGCACTTTGATATGTATTAGGTATTAGAAGATCCTGACCGACCACTGGCTGGCTATCGACGGCATGCGAGTTCTCGATGCCGCTTGGCGCGTAATCCGGAGGTAGCACGGGCATGTTGTCGGGTACGGAATTCCCTCGGATACTCGCGACGTTAAAATTAGCAGGATGTTGAGCTCTCCCTTCTATGGGGCTCGAATGCACCTCTAACGATTCGCCTAAAGGATCGATATGTTTCCCCGACTTGCTTCCGACATTGAGTTGACCAAAATTGCTGGTTAATTCCTCTGCCGCTGTAGGAGCGAAAGTACGATCATCCTTCTCGCCGATAAGAACGGTTTTGGAAGGATCGCTCTTCGGTGCGTCGTCAGTCAGTACGTTCAGATGATGGTGGTCTCCAATCAGTGACTTGACGTCGCTCGATTTAGGATAACTGATCGAGTCATGAGGCGATACGGTACTTGGGATAGAAGCTACTGCCGCTTGTTTCTCGCTTTCCTGCTCATTGTTGTTGGGCGTATGTACAATATTTTCAATAGTCGTAGGTGCAATTGTAGACGCTGGAGCATAATTAAACGGCGCCATGTGCATCTGTTGCCACTCGTTTGCAGCAAACCTAGCGCCGTTATTGTTCTGCGGTACGTTTTCCGCGAACGAACTGTTATCCGCGCCCGTCGGCTGTAACCATTGCGTAGGATGTACAGATTCGCTTTGCACGTTGGAATGTCTCCAATCGTGCGAGGCACTAATGTTGCCCGATGGCGGCCAAACGGCAAATGTGTCGTCTACATTATTCGTTGTTTGTACTAAATGCGCGGATTGGTGTTGGGACTCGCGATTTTGATTGTGCCACTGGTTCGATACATTAGACTTAGTACTCGGTTCGGTATTACCCTGCTGCCCACTGGCAGGCCAGTTCATGGAATGTTCCTTGTTGACTTCGACAGGTGCGTTATACATTTGCGATGGTTGCACGCCCTGATTGCTCGTATTGTCAACTATTGGCTGCTGCAAATCCTGCGGCACGTTCTGATCCTGCCACTGACTCAGCGTATCGTTGTGATTCTGCCAATTACTTTGCAGCGGCAAGTTCGTCGCGTCGTCTTTGTTCCAGTTATAATTGTTATGCGGTGCCATCGGTGGCGGGTGTGCCGGTGTCGTCGCGTCGTCTTTGTTCCAGTTATAATTATTATGCGGTGCCATCGGTGGGGGATGTGCCGGTGGCGGATGCAATGGTGGCTGATCCTTCTGGCCATGCTGCAGAAGTCTCTGCTGGGGATAAGCTGCATTTTGCGACTGCTCGCTCGACCATTGAGCGTGTTCATAACCGGATTTCGCGTTGCTCGATCGAGGCGGCAACGGATACTGCTGATTTTGATTGTAGTTCGTAAAGGGCGGAAAAGAATCCGTGTAAGTCGATCCGGTCTGACGAGCGGGCTCTGTTCTGGGAGTGTTTCTGTCCGACACGGAGTTCTGGTTAAGTACATCGGACGTGTTACCATTAAGATTCTTGTAATAATGATTTTGCGCAGAAGAGGATATCAGCTGCCCTTGATTCTGATACGAAGGTACGTAATGCTGTTGCTGCTGATGTGGCGGTTGTGGTGGTGATTGCTGCTGCTGGGTATCTGATTGTTGATCCAGATTCCAGTCCCAAGGATCCTTCCACGTATCGCTGGCAGGTTTTGATTGGTTCACGAGAGACTGCTGGGTGGTATCGTTCGGCAGAACGTCCGATTGAGGTCTCGACATGGGCACCCACATGTTTTGATTGGGCATTCCGTACGCAGCCGTATGATCCACCCGTGCTCTGATGGGTCTAGCTCGATAAGGATTCTAAAATTGCAGTTAACAGTCAAATCACTCATTCCGCTGTGTAACTCACGCCACGTAAAGCAATTAAACTTGTAATACTTACGTTCATGCTGCCTGCAGGACGGTACGGCCTGATTCACAGCACAATCTTTGAGATCTGCAAATCAACAACACACAATGTAGCGAATAATCTTCAATTAGGAAAGTCAACAGAGACGGCAGAAACGTGACAAAACGTTTTCGTTAATTTACAATTTCACTCACGCATATTTTGCATACATATGTCACTTTCGGACGATTGGCAATCAGCTAAGAATAATTTAACGAACTCTACCGTCAAAAGCGCGAGTGTTTAATTGGCTGAATTGTCTTCGCGATCGCGGAAAACGTCTCGTCGCCGCGACACTGACAGCTTCAGCGTACACGGATGTAAATTATAAATGGGTCATTAGCCGCGAGTCCCCGTGGCACCGGAAGATCACCGAAGGTCCCCCGACGCGTCGCGTCCCCGCGACAGGAAGAAGAGGAGAGCGAAAGTCGCGAGCGAGCGACGAAAGCGATCGCAATCGATAAGATCCGTTTCGCGAAGCGGCTCGGCGAGCGGGAGGTGGGTCCTCGGGCCGCGATAAGGAGGCTCGCGTCAGACGAGGAATCCCTGCCCCGACGACGCGGAGTCGCGGCGATTTAACGCAATTATGTAACGACGGACGTGGCAAGGTGCCTTCCGGGAGAGGCGCCGTCCGGGAAGCGCGGCGCGATCGCGAGCTCCGGGCAGCCAGCTGTCGAGAGAGTCGAGAGACGGCGCGGGGGAGAGCCGAGGTTTCCACAAACGTAAACGCTCGCTCGCTCACCTAAAAGCTATCGTCGCTGTCGTCTCCACGCCGCGTCCGGTATGCGCATTATTGGCCGCCGCCACCGCCGCCGCCGCCGCCAGCCACTTTCACGGGTTCCTCTTCACGGCAGGTCGTCCAGGTCGTCCTCGTCCTCGACGTCGATGGCCGCGCGCGCGGATACGATCTCACGAGTACGCGGACATTTCGACGTGCGCGCGAGAGAGAGAGAGAATGAGAGAATGAGAGATGAAGAGAGAGGCAAGACACGACTTGGCAGATCGAGCACGTCACGGATCCTTTCTCTCTCCCCGCTCTCCCCGGTGGCGACTTTCCACGCGAGCGGAACCGCGACGAACGTCAACGAACGTCAAAGCCGAGCGCCGAGGCCGGAAGCCGAGCGCCGCCGCGCCGAGGTGGCGGACTCAACACCGATCGCGCGCGCGAGATGGCGGCCCGCCGATTCGATTCGAACATTCGAACGCGAAGCGTCGACTACAATTTTAAAGAAAACTCCTTTATTTTCTTTTGAGGAAACAAAGATGTATGATTTACGGGCCCGATTTGCGCGCCGGCGATCGCCCGCGTCTCGAAAACGCGCGCTCGAACGTTATTCAATCCTCGCGGCGCGGGAAATTTCCTCCCACGAGCGACGCGGGACGAGTGCGCGAACGTCGCGCACGCGGATCGCGCGTCCCGCTTTCGGCTTTCCTGACAGCAGCATATGTCCAAAATCGGGACGATCGAGATCACTCGAAATAAAATGTCTAAGTCTTGTGTCCACAATGCTAGAAATCGCTCCGAGATCTCGGACGGAGAAAGAATTAACCAATTGCATTGGTCAATTGCCGAACTGTTTAAATATATAATTGTCAATTTTTTCTCCGTTTGAGATCTCGGAGTGATTTCTAGTACCGTGGACACAAGGCTTTAAAAACATTATTATGACGTCTTTTAGACATTATTAAGGCATCTTTCAAACACCATAAGACCTTTTAAAGGTAAAAGGAAAAGGAGGTAAAATGGAAAAAGTGTACGCGTTGTTTGCAGATCTCAAGGCTGCATTTGATAATGTGGATAGAGAAATCCTGTGGAGGATCATTATTACTCGAAAATTCAACGAGGAAAGGGAATAAAAGAACAACTGATAAGAAGATTGGAAAGGATTTACGAGGAAATGGAAGTTATTGTGGTGAGGACCAGTCATGGATATATGGAGGAGTTCCAGACATCAAAAGGAGTAGGCAGGGATGCGTAATGAATCTACTTCTGTTCAATCTGTATATAGCGGATTTAGCTGAGGTAATGGAAAAGAGAGGAATATAGGAGGAATAGAGGTAGATAAGATTAGGGTTTGGAATTTAGAGTATGCGGATGATATTGTGATGGTAGCGAGAAATAGGGATGCACTGATAGATATGATGAGCACACTGAAAAGATTCCTAAAAGAAATAAAATTAGAGCTATGTACAGATAAGACAAAGATTGTAGTGTAGTTTAATAGGAAAAGAAAAGAAGGCAAGGAGGTATGGAAATGGGATGAAAAATATATAGAAGAGGTACAAACTTTTAAATATTTAGGTTTTACGTTTAACAAGAATGGTAACTATAAGGACCCACATTAGAGAATTGATAAAAAAATGTAGGATTGCGGTTAGAAAAGTCTGTGGGGACTAGGAGAAAGAATATGTAGGGGAGATTTCTTAAGAAGGTGGATGATGTTTAAATATTTGGTGCAGAGCGTTATGACGTATGGGGTAGAAATTTGGGGATGGGAAGAGAAGGTAGAGTTGGAAAAAATAATGATGGACTATATTCGTTGGATATTTTCTATAGATTTCTGTACACCAAGGTATGTGATATCAAGGGAACTAGGTATGGTTAAATTAATGGTAGGATGGGGCATAAGGGCAATGAGGTATGAAGAAAGAATTTTAAAAGGTATGGGAGAAGATATTGTAAGGCACTGTTGGAAGGAAAAGGAAGCTTATGGGTGGAAGGATAGGTATAGTATTGAGAGAGAAAGATATTACAACAGGAACGGATGGGGAATAGGTATACTGGAAGAACTGAGAAGAGAGGGAGCGAATTTAGAAAATGAAATAATAAGTAGGGAAAGAGATAACCAGAGACAATGGGAAGGGAATAAAATCATAGAGGCAAGGTATAATAAAAGATATAAAGTATATTAGATAAGTTAGATGGAGGTCCGGAATATTTGAAGAAGAATAGTTTAAAAAGGGTAAGGATAGATGATGTACGTAAGAGCTTTAATAAAACTGAGATGCGGAAATTTGGAAGAAGCAAACAAATATTGGTTAGAAGAAGATTGGAAAAAATGTATTTGGTGCGGTGATGGCAATGACTGTATGGAACATTATGTAAAGGAATGTCAGAGAGCGAGTGTATCATGGTTTAAGGTTTTAGGTAATGACGAGGCGGAGAAGTGGAAAATGCTGTGGAGTGATGAACTAGATTTAGATAAGGGTAAAATGTTGCGGAAATTATGGAAGGAGAGGGAGAAGGAAATTAAAAAGAGAAAGGAAAATCAAGCCAAAGATAAAGATTGTGATAGTTTTAGGTCTAAGTAGTTTAGGTTCTAAAGGTCAGCGAGCGTACAATATGTATGGATGTACAATATGAGGATAAGTTTTAAATTGTATAAAACCAAGTCCCTTCCTGGCTATTTATGTAAAAGCTGAAGTAAATAAATTCTATTATAAGACCTTTTAAAGGCATATTTAAGACATATTTAAGACATTTTTAAGATGTTTTATGATATGATGTCTTAAAGATGTCTTAAATATGTCTTTAATAAGACGTCTTACAATATAATGTCTTAAAAATGTCTCAATAATGTCTAAAAGACGTCTCAATAATGTTTTTAAGACGTCCTTATATCCCGATTTTGGACGTGCCGTCTACTTTCCTTTTCACGATGCGCTCGCCGATGGTAAGGCCGCGGAGCGTGTTTTCGCTCGCGCTCGTCGGGTCGGCCGTTCGCCCGCTCGACGGATAAGCGATCGTCGTCGGCCGAGCGATCGGCGCAGTGCGCATGGACCGACCGGACGACTGACGTGGTGGATCGAGAGTGGACGCGCGGCGGCGGCGACCACGGCCACATCGCCATCGGCCCATACGCGCGAATAGCTTGCGGATGTTGAGATCGTGGAGCGGCGCGACGACACGAATGTGCGATTGAAATCTTCTCCTCGGTCGTTTTTCCAGACGGAGATCGGCGAACATCGTTCTTCTGTAGTAGGTAGTCCGGTAGGATGGTCCTGTTCACGATAATCGCGAGGGTGGCGGATGGCCTGCCGCTGGCGGCCACCATGCAGGACAACGAGCAGGTTAGAAATGTGCCACGGTGAAACGTCACTTCTCAGGCATCGCACTTTTTACCTCTGTAATTATCTCGACGCATCCACGGAAGTCCTTGTTTCCAAAGAGGAGAAGGGATCCTGAAATTCATTTGCTAAATTAGAAAGTTGAGATCTTTGGATCGAAATTTTGCCCGTTTATCCATGTTTTACTGACGTATGTGAGCTGATCGTGTTCTATTTTGTGTCGCAGGACGGTAAGAATATCGTGGAGTATCAGAATCAGGCGAAGATGCTGTTCAGAAAGCTGGGTTCACAGTCTCCGGCGAGGTGTACCCTCGAAACCGGACCGTATCTTTTCCAGTAAGCGACGATTGGCAAACTTTACCTATGTGTTTTAAAATCTGTTTTATATCGTACCTTCCTTGCAGTTATTTAATCGAGAATGAAGTGTGTTATCTGGTGTTATGCGAAAGGAATTACAGTACGCGCATAGCTTACAGCTACTTGGAAGACATAGCGCAGGAGTTTCATGCTCAGTATGGTAAACGTGTAAATACAGTGACCAGGCCTTATACCTTTATCGAATTCGGTAAGCCATTAATGACTGTGAACGTTAATGTCTTGAATATATTGCATCAGCTTCATGTTCTTCTTTTCTCAGATACATACATTCAGAAAGCCAAGAAGATCTTCACGGACAGTAGATCTCGTAGGAATTTGAACACACTTAACACCCAGTTGCAGGACGTGCAAAGAATTATGGTGCAAAATATTGACGATGTTCTACAGAGGGGTACCGTACTCTCAGGTAATGTGGAGCTGTTCCGTTTGCCTGAAGAGCCAAAAACGTAAATCGTAGATATCTGCGCGTACTAATATATTAATTGCATCTTGCAGAATTGGATACAAAGACGCAAAACTTGTCTATGCTGTCGCAGAAGTATAAAAAAGACGCGAAACATCTGAACAGTAAATCAATGTACATAAAAGCTGTTGCCGGTCTTGTTGCATTTGTGATCTTCCTGTTATATTTCTTCGTTCTTTAGTTAAGCAACGTGAGTAGAAAAAATTTCGATAATACGCGTCAAAGGTATTCCATTTCCAAGGGTAGAATATATATTTTCGTTCAACTCGCCTATATTTATGGAGTGTTTGCGACTACAACCACCATTTATATTTATAGAAGAGGAAATTAAAAATTGTACGTACAAAATAAAAACTGCGAAAGTGTAATTATATATATATATATATATATATATATATACATACACACACACATATACTCAAACTGGTCTATGTAAAAATTATGTTTATAACAGAATAGTATATAATTATATAGCACGATATTTGACGATTTTTTTAGCACTATTCAAAGACAAACACTAAATTTCTTATATAGAAGTTAATAGGTATACAGTTTTTATCACATTTCCGTTGAGTCATTTTCATAATCTTGCGTAAAAGATCTAGTAATCTCTACGTAAAAAAAGAAAACGATATAATGTGCTACCGTTTTAAAAATATATTGTAGCAAATCGTGTAATATAACTCATTTCGGAAATTTGTTGGCGGTGAAAAATAAACTGCCTCTAAATTATGAACTAGAATAGAAAGAAATTTCACAAATGAGGAGCAGAGACGGATTTTTATTATTGCGTTACGAATTTTTATAAAAAAAAAAAAATTATTGTATTTATCATTCCTACGTCTGTTAAATTATACAGTTTGTGTGATCCTCTGTGAAGTCCCGAGTTAGTATAAGTTTACGAAAATGTTTTCATTATTTTTGAGTTGTACTTTTGGGTGGTGCGCAGGTGGAGGTATATATATCAGCAGAAAAGGAACCAATTGAGAAAAAAAAATGTATTATAGATGGCCATACGCGTCATTAATGTTACTATATTTGTATGTATTTCTTCTGTATTAAAATAACGGTGATGTATTTACAATAAAATATATCCACACATAATTAAATATTTATAACAATGAACGTAATTTTCACATTTTTATCAAGTCTTCGTAATTCGGTATATCAAGCGACTGTTTCTTTCTTTTAAATTTGACGTCCGTCTTCTCATCATCAGAATCCGAGAGATCATTGAAGAAATAATTTATCGGCTTATTTTTTTTGTCAGGCCCATTATCATTATTGTATCTTCTCTTCGCTCCGTAATTCGTACACTCCGTGTCACTCGTTTCTTCATCTGGATAATAATAGACATGATGTATAGATCTATAATAATATATCGATGATGCTTATAACGGATAATATTTACCAGTGTCTATAATCTCGTACATATTCGAGTGATCCTTCATAACGACATGCAATGTCGGAAACTCTACTATAGTTTTATTCTCCAAATTTTCTCTCAACGTGAGCGTAAGATCCAAATCATAAAACCTGGAAAGAGTAATCGATTACAATTAGCCGAGTACTTCAAAATTAGAAAAAGTAAAAAAATATATATTGGTTTACCTAGAGTTTGCCTTCTTTATTTTCTCGGCTTTCAAGAGCACTTTAATATTACTTAACCCAGCTGCTCTATAAAATTGCAGTTTATCAGCTAAAACCAGTTTTGTATTCAATCGTTCAATATCAGTCTCATCTGTCGAAGAGACCGGATCTAAAACCTGTTCCACCAATGTTGATAATCTTATGCTGTCTAGAGTTCTGTAATAAAGGTAATAATGTGAGTTGCTGTTCATTGCTAAAAGTCTAGGCTTTCAGACATGACACGCATTCGTCCATACCTGTCCACCGTGCACTTAATATTTTCAGCCTGTGGGAAAATCCATTCCAAACGCCAGAATAGCTCATTGGTCTTCCAATTAAGATACGTAGTGTTCTCCTTGTGCCGACTGAAGAGCTGCGGCATAAATAACAGCGATATCTTTCTGTAGCCTGCAGCGCATCTCAATTTATGTAGGTGCTGAAAGAAAGCAACATTGTAGGCCTGTTCTTCTTAGCCGAACTTCTTGCATGGCTCATTTTTCTCTTTTTCTTTTCACACGAAAGAGAAAACCAGAAAAGATGAACTGTGCCAGAAGTTTAGCTAAATAAAACAGACTTTGCAGTACTTAAAAAAAAAAATTACAGTATAAATAAAAAACGAGAGGATAATGGATATCGTACCACTGGTAGATTAGCTTGACGCGTGAACCTTATCTCCGGATTTCGCTTCTTTGTATCAACCGTTCTGTCAACTTGCTCGAGGAAGCGATAATCTGCAAAATGTGAAACGGTCAAAGCCTAGAGACGTTTTAAGCAATTTAAATAATATAAAAAAAGGACTCTGTTTTTTACCGCTCAATAAATCCAGATCGGTGAACGAATTGAGGGGGATGAACTTGGTCTTGTCCCGGATCCCGTCGCACTCCAGTTCCTTCTTATGGACGTTCACACAGGCGACAGAGCAGGTTCTAACCTCGCATTTCGGACAAGTGTACCGTGCCTTAGCTGCGGCGCATACCTCGCAATCCTCCAGTCTGTAAAAAAGAGTAAAATAAAAGGAGTAAATTAATCATCGCGAGAGATTTACTCGATCTTTACATTTATATGAACATCAGACATTCCTACACTTACTTGGTCCTCGTGGGTTGCTCCATCTTGCTTTTAGGTTAGGTTTATTTGCTTCTGTGTTTTTGCGCGCGCGCGCGCGTGTGTGTGTGTGTGTGTATGATTGATTAATTTGTATCAATTTGTATAATTGTTAATTTGTGTTAATAATTAGCTAGATTTGTATTATTCCTCTTTCGTATTCGTATATATATTATGATACAGTTTGATATTTTTCGTAAAGGCCGTTTTTTTTTTAAATAAATATATCTGTTTGTTTTGAAAGATTGAAAGCACGTTTACCTCCGATGTTGATAAAATAACACTTGTCCGCAAACGTTAGGCGAGAAATGAGCGCGTCTAGTGCTGCAAACCGTTGATTCGTAATATATTTTTATTACTTGTTATTTTTATTGATCTAATAAAATATATAATAAATAATAATAAAAACTGATCATGTTCCAGAATACTTGGCGATTACGCGATTGTTGTTGATATGGAATTACATTGTTGTATGTAATCGTATGTACATATACTTATATTGTACATTAAATAAATCAATTTCAAATAAACTTTTGTGGTATTTAAAACATATAATTACAAGAATATATATTGTTGCAATTAAAAATAAAATCGAGAAAATGCGATATATTCTTTATTATCCTTCTTTATGAAAAAAAATCAGATCTCGAGATTTACCCAGAAAGATTAAAAAATATATATTTAGTAATTTTAGGACATGCGCTTATATACGCTTTGTATTTACAATTAAATAAATTTTCTTAAATATATTAAAGAAAATAATGTACGCATACAAGTGAAATAGAAAAAGTTTCTAGTGAATAGATGGTAACAATTAAGTTTAAAATAACGTAATACATGATTTCGGAAAGAGATTAAACACTTATCCGAGAAAAAATGTTTCATACATAATTATATAAAATATATCCATATACATATACATATTTTCGTTCTCTTGTATAATCTCTGTTCGTATATATAAGAAAAATGATTGAAGAATAATGGAAAAATAATTATATGTATAAATAACTTTTGCATTTTTTTTTACAAAAAGTAAAATTGTTGTTGATATGGAATTACATTGGGCAATTTTTTCTCATTTCCTTAAATTTCATTTTTTTATTAAAAAAAAGAATGCAAAGTTAGTCTTTTAATTATTTTTCAATTTTTCTTTATGAACACAGATTATACAAAAGAAACAACATTTATGGACATATTTTATATAACATATTGTTGTAGCTCTCCTGCCGAGATGTAGTGAGTCAGGAATGTGATAGGTAATACAGTCGTCTTAGATAATTATTCCTTTATTTGCTCTCCATACAGTATGCGTAATGCGTCCATACAGTATGCGTAATGCGTCCCGGCTAACCGCGAAGTGACGCGCGCTCGTCCCGCGCTCTCGCGCGCCCTCCTGCCAAGGGCCGTCGGCGTATGTGGGACCGGGCAGGCCCCAACACATATAATTATATATGAAAAATTTTCACCTTTTATTAATTGAGTTAATTAGAAAATAATTGTTTACACTGTATCCACTGTATTAGATACGATAATAACTTGTATCCTGCAACGACTAAGCTTGCAATGTGAATGCTTAAATTATGACAAATTGTCTCGAGTTCATTGAGCTGAAAATAATTTTTATTTATTATTTGTTCTCTTCTTCTCTTTTCTGTGCATATATACAATATTTCTTTTACAATATCTGGTAGACTGGTAACTTTTACCGAAACACTTACGGGTCACTCTTAAAAATATATAATATTAATTACAATCTTTAACTTGGAATTGATTAAAATACTTATTAGTACGGAATCAATTCGAGAAACACAATGCTTGTCGTAATTGCATTCATTAACGATATACAACTTCGTTTATTTGCGAAACTAATTATAATTTATCTTATGATGGAATAACAATTGAACTAATCACAATAAACACATCGCGCGTTGTACGAGTGACAATGACTGCTCGTATCTTCACGAAATTAAAAAAAAAAAAAGAAAGGAAAAAAGTATAACAAGAGTTCTGTAATGATGCATACGCGGCTTTCGCGAATGAAAGCAGTCACATCGGCTTCATTCGGCGAAGCGTGACGATCTCGTGACGGTCACGAGACTTCTAATCTAAAATTATCTTCGTTGCACATCGCGTCCCTTATATCGCGACTGGGACACGCATAAGTACAATAAAAAACGGTGGCTTTATTGCGACAGCGCTTTACACTGCTTGCAGTTCTCCATTCGCTCGTTGAATTCCTCTATCTGCAACGTCATCTCGAAGAACTTGTATTTGTCGTGGATATTCCGCGTGGCGGTTCGCAAGATGTTCTGGGGACTCGCTCCAGGTTCTGCGAATAAAGACGTTATTTTTAATAAAAAATAAACATCACAAAATAATAAATATGATAGACGATAGAAGCAAGATGCGCGATTTTGTGATGATACAATTTATTATAAGAGTCCAGAGATGAACGATAAAATGCAAGATTTTATAAAGTTCCAAATCGAGGAATGTAGAGATTTATAGTGCTGCTAAAGGATCTATTATTAGTGCGGGAATTTGAGAATCTAAAAATATGAGCTTTAAGCGCTCTTTGTGACGGCATAATACGTTATTTCAGGACTTCAGCTTTAGGTTCCATAACTAAAATGCATAAATAAGAAGTACACGTGTCAGATTGTATTTTTGGACGTACGTACTTATAGCAAGATGCGCCGACAGAGCGGTCTTGTCGAGCGAGAGCGCCCAGATTCTAAGATTGTGCACCTTAACGACTCCATCTATTTGCATAAAGGTGTTCTCCACTTGGGAATACTCAAAACCCTTGGGAATACCTTCCATCAGGACGTTAACTACGTCCTTAATAATCGCCACCGTAGTGAGGATAACTAATACGGAGAAGAGGAATGTACATATTGGATCCACTATGTTCCAACTTGGCTGAAACATAAGCCGATCATTAGAATCGTGCCTTGAAATCGTGTCGTCGACAGATAAGCCTCTATCTGTTGAATTACAAAAATGTTACGAAATTTCTCGAGGGTAAAATAAATAAAGGACAAACGTGTGACTCGATCTCGATATAAAAGATATAAAGAGCCCAAGAACGAAAAACTTTCCGAAACTTTATCTTTGATCCATACGTCATGACATAAATATATATACATTGGTAAATACATTGATAAACTACTGACGAAAGTTTGAAGATACCTTAAAGTAAATGACTAATGCGGCGATAAATACTCCTATGCTCTGAATAAAATCACCCAAAACGTGGATGAAGGCGGCCCGCACGTTGATGTTCCTTTTCTGATGCTCCCCTTTGAGATCACCATCAAGCTCACTTTCCACGTCGCTGCCTCTATCGTGGCTATGCCCGCCGTGACTATGGCCATGCTGATGCAACGACAGGCCCATTCTGCAATGCCAAATTATACACGGTGCGTTATCTCTAAAGCAATTAAAGATGCGAGTCTAATTTCGGAAATTTTGTTGCAACCGATTTCTGCTAAATATTTTATCAGGCCATTTAATTCGATTAATTCTCAACAATTTCTCATTAATTTCTCACATTCAAATTGCCGTAATTCGTATCGTTATCGTTCGAATTGCACAACGAAGGAATACTCGATTAATGTTACGTTATGCACATTCTAATTCCCATTGCTATAAGAACTTCGTGAACAATCGTGCATGGTATCGCGTAGCCATGCATGAATCGCCGTTGGGTCGCACAGAAGATTAAATAAATATTGTCGTTAATGATATCACTAACACTAGATTTACCGCAACACCAACCGCCGACGTGATCAGCATCACCGTGGCGTCCAACTCGAAGTCCTTGTGGACGATTCTCTCTATCGCGAGGTAGAATAAGATGCCAGTGACCACCCATATTAACAAAACTGAAGTCAATGCTCCGATGACCTAAAACAGCGTATAAAAAATTTCTCATTTATCAATTTCCATCAATTAGTAATATTTCTAATGTTTTACAAGATAATTTACAAGAAAATTTCCGCATGTGTATTAACTTTTTTTTGTAGTACAATATATACCGCGAACAGTTCGAAATTAATTTGAAACGGCTTTTAATCACATTATTCTATGTTTACTTCACTAATTTCTGCATCTAAATTAACTATATTACATTTTTATTTGTCGATAAAATTTAACGTTTAATTTTTCGCTCGATTTAGTTTATCTCAATATCTATATCAGAAAAAGAGTGAAAAAAAAGTACTCACCTCCGCTCGATACCAACCAAAAGGCATTTTTCTGGTGGCTGGTCTACCAGCGACCCAGATGGAGAAGAGAGATATCATAAAAGACGCGAAGTCAGTCAACAAATGTGCGGCATCGGTCGCTATCGCCAAGCTGTTCGATAATACACCGCCTGAAGAGGAGAAAAAAAATAAGAAGAAAATTTGTGTGTATGCACGATAACTGGTGTGCCCGCGCTCATAATTTAACTTCTACAAAGTATTTTCGTTTACATAGATAACGTATTTTGTTGTATTACCGACGATTTCTGCTATCATGAAAATAACGCAGAGCGCACTGGCTATCAGCAACTTCTTTCGGGCTTTCTTGTCGATCTCCTCGTTCCTCTCCCTGTGACAGTGATCTTCCGGAGACACTAAAAATAATCGTAATAAAAAGAATGTCATCAGTTTATTTAAAAGGAAAGGAGTTCGAAAAGTCAGTTTCGTCAAATGTCAATTAGAGCTATTTGATTAATGCAAAAATTAGATATTTTAATATAATACAAATATAACGTGGAAACACAGTTTCTTTATCCTTCGTAGGCTACGGTCAACGTGACGCTACAAATGCTTCGAAGCATTCCTCTTCTCTTTTCTTTCAATGAAGAAAGAAAGAGAAGAAGAACGCTCCAAAGCATTTGTAGCGTCACGTTGACCGTAGCCTAAAGGTGCCTTTTCATGCTGACGCTCGACGCTCATTTTCAGCGGCAAGAAGGTCGCATGACCACAATTGACGCCGGCGTCAATTGAAATTCATGAAAAGGGAAACAGCGTCAAAATTTCCTTAAAGGTGCCAATTCATGGGACGCTGAAAAACAGCGTTGAGCGTCGTCACGTGACATCACTATGATGCCAGCGTCAAGAAAGAGAAGTTGGATTTTTCCAACTTCAAGCGTCAAAGCCAAAGCAGCGCGAAGACGCCGAAATTTTGACGCTGTTTCCCTTTTCATGAATTTCAATTGACGCCGGCGTCAATTGTGGTCATGCGACCTTCTTGCCGCTGAAAATGAGCGTCGAGCGTCAGCATGAAAAGGCACCTTTAGTCTCTTCGATTAATTTGAAACGCGCCGATAGAGAATTGGACGAATATTCTTATAATAATTTGTCGTTATTATTTCTATTTTTGGAATAATTTTTACTTTATTTTCTCAAATATGCGCGATGAAATACTTGTTGAGAAAAAACGTACTTGTCGGATTTTGTTGATAGTCCGCGGATGCATTTTCGTCGCCGGAACCTTTCACCACCGTACAACAACCTGACAATTTTCCGTGAACGCAGAAGATGACCTTCCGTGGGGACATCTCACTTTCTTCATCCTCGTTGTTATTCGGCGGTATGCTCGTCCCATAGCCATAAATCGCCTTATCCTTGAACCTGCAGTCAATCATAAATCCATTTCTACTTCACACAGTTGAAGTAAAGGTACAAAGAATTGTTTTTACAGAGAGAAATGTCTAACTTCGCTAGCTGTTATAGATCCTTTATTATAACGCGGCCGACTTTGAGGCAAAATGAAATGCTACGCTTTCGATTATAATTTATAATCCTATTATAATTTATTATAATTATATTCATAGATATTATTTATTATTTATAAATTATAAATAACAATTACTTATACATATAAGGTATTTATAGTATCTTTTCTCTATTCTTCGCGATTATAAATGGCGCACACAGCGATCACTCTTTCTTATATTGCGCAATGGAAGAAAGCGATTACGTATTAGTGAACTAATCCATGCGGCTTGCCGACGATTCGAGCAGGAAAAAACATGACGCGTCTTTGTAGAGTCATTTCTTTTGAGAAATTATCTAGTTTCGTCAAGCGTCTCATTTATCGTGCTAGTTTTATTTCGTTGAACTTTTTGGGGATGTCGAAATAATTTCGATAACTTTTTGTTTGTCAGTCAATAAACCACGATATCGAAAATCGTCAATAAACCACGATATCGATCTCTTCTGCTTCTTAGCTTTCTTAGATAAGATCTGTACGGAGATATTCATGCCTGATCGGTCGACGTGATAAGAGGAAGTGGTACAACTATTTATGGAACGAGAAACTCGGTATAAAGTCAATTAATGTAATAAAAATAAAATTCGTACTTTTACAGAATTTATTTCTTGACCAGAATTTTGCGAGAATTTATTGAAAATCTATTTCTTTTAATCTTTATTTCACTTATTTGATAGAGAAGCCTTATTCGCCTTATTTTTTATTTTTAAACGCGAATATTTCTTAATAATATTAAGAAATCAATATTTCTTAGAATAATATTAAGATTATTCATATAAGAGTATTCATATTCTTAAAAATACAAATCTTGATAGAATGATCAATATTTCTAAGAAAAGAAAGAAGAAAAACTTGCAAGTAAAGAGAATGTGTAAGAATAATGAAGAGGTATCAACATAGAGGATACAAAAAAATCATGTATTTCTACTCCATTCTAATTGCGTAAGCAATTTCGTAACGAGCCTGCCGGAAACGTATTGTATGCATAATATGTATTGTTGACATTATTACACGCTTTAACAACAGTAATACATTATATACACGAATACGTGACCAGTTCTTATCGCCTTCCGCAGAATGCTATATTATCTATCAAGCAGATATCAATGATGATGCCGTGCGCAAATGCGCATTCGTTACACGCGTTCTCCCTCTGCGTTCCCCTAATCAGTGACTGATTCAATGACGGTGACAATGATGCCGTGTGCAAAGTCACACGATCGAAGAATATCGATGAAGATGAAGGTTCGCGATATCGCGCGCTTACGCCATTATATGTACGTGCGAAAGAATTGGATATGTAGCCGCGTCTGAATTCCACCGGAACATTTTTACGTCACATCATGATATACACACACACACACACATTTATATAATATTATATGTATATACATATAGGTATATGCACATATTATATAATATGTAAAAATGTACTTACATAATTATTGAAAACTTAACAAAGGATTTCTATCTGCAAACTGTAAACGTTTGGTCGCGGCTCTCGTTAAACTATCAAGCTCATAATTTCCATCTCATCGCGAGTTACACCTATTATATATATTTTTTTATCGCGTAGCCTTAATCTTTTTGGGGAGCCGCGTACGGCGCGGAAAGAGAAGGTCGACCCTCGGGAATTTGTCCTTCAGCTAGGAGCGGTGACCAGATATTCACGGAGATTCGTGACGGCCTTCGTCGCTGAGTCAAGGTGCTCGACGATGGGCCACGACTTTGTGGGTTTTTGCCGATATCAAAGATATGAGACGCGAGGACAACGCGAGGACTCGCGTCGATGCGTATCTCGCGTGTACTTCCTTTCGTCTACGATACACGCGTGGTCTCGCTTATCTCTTCACGCCCGCCAGAGAGAAAATGACAAATGGTTTCACAACTTTGTGGAAACTCCCCGTTCATCGTCATTTGAACGACCGAATAGCGAACAGCAATGGGAAAATCGAGGGGAAAATAGACAAGCGAAGAGTTCACCGCTTCTCAAAAGTCATCGTCATTTTATTGCCAAAATGCGCTCTTTATCCACGGCAATCTGCATTATAATTATCTGTATCAGATTATATGTGTTTTCGGATCGGTTGAGTTGCCTGCGGATTATCTCGTCACGTGCTCTTAAATAATCAGATGCACCGGCGGATTAATAACCGACGACGATCGACTCGCCGCCGCTCCGCCGTCATGCTATCCGACACCATGTCAGTGTTTAGTAATTATACTGTGATAATACGAGAACAACAGTCGAGCCTCGTCGAAAGAGAGAGAGAGAGAAAAAACCACTTCCATAGGCGTCGACAAGAGACGCATGCCTTCTAGTAGAAAAAAGTCTATCGCTGGATATAACTGGAATTCTTGTGGAGATATCAGTGTCTTTCTTAATAGAAATAGTCTAATCATGTTCTCTAACCGTTTACTAGTACTAAAGAATCTAAGAACGGGTATCGAATAACGAGAATTTTGACGGAAATAAAGTTGTTAGCTGAATGTAGTTGTAGAATGTTGTTAGCTGAATCGATAATATTAAATATTAATTGTATTAATATTAATATCATTTAAATAATTGTTATATTGTCTTAAAAAAAGAGATATTCTTTTTTTGTAATATCCTAAATTGATTACTCCAGGAAGAAAACTCGAACAAGCGCATCGATCCTTGCGCATCGCGGCGCCTATGATCGTTTCAGGATCGCACGATCGCGATCGCATACACGCGAGTGCACCCTTCCTACCCTCGCGATAAAACGTGATCGTTACAACGGCTGTAAAATTATCCACTTCGCAAATGCCACTACTTGGCACTTACGATTTAACGCGAGATAACAGCGTGCCGAACATAGAATTGACGGTGTTGATGGCATTGATGGCAAAATGGATTAGTATAATTACAGACGGATTGGTATTTACCGCGGAGGTAAAAGAAAGCCAGTCCTACCTATGCGCCGCGAAAATTGCGTACAGCAGTTTCGGTTAAACAATCGTGAATTAACGATTCGTTGTTCTTAACCCCTGGAAAGCGTGACAGGCCGATAATCAAGTATATATAAAAAGAAGAAGCAGAAGAGAAAAAAGAAACTTGTGGCGTATGCGGTTTCGTGGTACGATGCGCTAACGAGAGAGAAACCCAAGAAGTCAACCGCGAACGATCGTGCTTTAAACGATCGTTGATAGTCGTTCTTCTCCATAACGACATTCGATCTAGCAGCGAGCTTTTAAAGAGGATAGCCCAGCAAGATTATTTGCACGTATTATTTGTCTCGTATTTCCGTCTGGCATTTATCACGCAGCTCGATTAAGCTAACAATTTTCATATTTCATGTTACAGGCCTCCAAAAATATCTGTCCACGTAAAAGGACTGCGTATGTACGTCTTTTAACGTGAACATATAGCTTCAGTATAGCTGAAGAAAATATAGCTTCGATATAACTTCAAAAATATATCTAGATACAAAATAATAAAAAAAAATAATTATTTTACTATTTGAGTCAGGTGTAAATGTCAAACGTATCGTTGATCAATCGCTGGTACAGTGTACAGCGTCAATTAAGTTATCTTAAAATTATTTAATGAAATTACGAATATGCAAGTGTGACAGTGGGTCCATTCACGTTTTACGTGTACTACCAATGCATATGTATAGAAAGAGATCTCGGCAACGCCGAAGTATTTCAAGGCTTTTGAAGGTCCATGGACACCGACGGCAATGTTTTTAGGTCGCTCGAAGCTATAGGTCCCGTTATTCCGGCGGCGTTCGCCTGAAAATACTCCGTGTGATGAACAAAACCGAAGCCGGGAATCACGCGAGAGTGCACTCCTCTTATCATCCTCGCACGAGTAGCTCTACGTAATTACGTAGTTCCTCGGAGTTACGATTTACGTAAATAATGCCCCGGCGCAATTTTATTCGAGTTCAATGATATTCATCGTGAACACCCGAGGCGGGGAATACCCAGAAAACGGAGCGACAGAACCAATTCGATGAAAGTTGTTAGCGGAAAGCAACGAGATGATTCTTTTTTACGTTCTAGAATTCTATTTCTCGGAATAAACTTTCGCAAAACAAAGTTGTACGCGAAAAGACTATGATTTTATATAATTAACGTACAAGAAATAATAAGAAGCGAGTTTCCTCCAGACGAGGAAACTCGCACATTCTTACATCTACGCACCGAGATGCGTGGAGTCGATTAAAAAAACGTCCGGGAAAAACACGTTTTGTCATTTTTACAGGCGCAAGAACTGTGCTGGCGGCTATGCGCGACGATTCAATCGGAAGAAAACGCACGTTTTTGTTAAACGCTCGCGAAACTGGTTGCACGTCCTCGCGTGCTATCACATTAGAGATACTGTCGCGTGGCAAAGTGAAGGGGAATCGCGGCCTTGTTGCTAGCGGTGCCACAATGCATGCGCGGCGCGGCAAAAAGTGCCGCATAATTTCGGCAATCAGCGAGTTCAGTTTTCCGAGCTCGTTAAACGCACGCGGAGACATTGCCCGAGGAAAGAGAAAATCGTAAGAGGAAAGGCTTTCTCGTCGTGACGACGCGACGAGTGTGCGAATGTCAAAAGTCGGCAGTCGCGCCGTTCCCCGTCAACAAACAGTGAGAATATTTTGATAATATTCCGCGATATTCTGGATTCTTTCAAGGCTGCTCCTCGACGTTTTATATTTCGCATAATATCCAATACTTTTTTTTGTTCATTAATGAGAACCCTAGTAGCACAATACGCACTGACGGCAACACGTTGGCTGAATATTGGTTGTATTCGGAATGTCTTGGCCTTTTTGAATATTCCTCAATAAAAAGCTAATACTGGTTATTAATAAAATGCAAATGCACTGTTAATATTAGCTCA